AAGTTTAGATGCTGAATTGACAAACTAAACTGAAATCAGGCTTACTTTACTCTTTGATTAAACTGAAATCCGGCTTACATTACTATTTGATCCACAGTCTTTAGTAACCCATTTGTTCTTTTTCCTTTCATGTCCGTAAACGAAGTCTTTTGCAGCTACAACCTCTATATGGTTGGTTTAAGATTAATGCCGATCCTGAATGGCTTTTGTATTGGTGTTTTTTGTCACAATCATCTGATCCTCTGTATCTGGGTAATGCTTGAAGGGCCTCTTTCTAAAGATGCGGCTGGCTGTTGTTATGACAGAGAAGAAGGGTTTCATCTTTTTCTGTTTCGAGTTTGATTCACAGACTGTTGTTTCTTCTTTGAAAAATGTCAGTTTTTGTGCTAAATTGGGAAGTGTTATTGCAAACAGTTTTCCACTCCTTTCCTGATGGACTATTACCAGAATTCCCCGAATAGCCACCAAAATTCCCAGGCATTCCCCACTCCCTAATTTTAACATATAACAGGGGAATCCCTGTTATTAACTTAAATATCTTGCTTTGAAAAAAAAAAAAAAAAACACTTCAGGCTTCTTTTGCACACAATGTAATGGAGGAAAATCTATTCTAAAATGCAATAGAACACAAGGTAGTGGAGAGCGATGTAATAGAGAGAAACTAGACCTTTCCGAAGTGAGTACATATCAGCCCGAACAACTTCATAATCATAAGTAATTACATCGTGACCACTCTTAAGGAAATTTCACCATCTAGTAATTGACATGCACCAGAAAAATGACCTCTAAAATTATGAAGAATCCCAAGGTATGGAAAAAAGATATAATGTTATTTGCTAGAGAGCATAAATTCATTTATGGAATAACAATTACAAACTCGAACCCTAAAACTAAAACCCTATAATTTTAGCATATAAAGAAGTTGGCATATATACAAAACAACAACCTCTTATCCATTAAAATTTTAGTATCTATGTTTTAGACTACACACTGTTGATTTGGTCATCTAGCTGTAATGTGCATCATCAGAGGGAATTAGGTCGACCAACACTAACATGAAATGAGATGATAAGAAATGATTTTTAAAAAATAAATCTAATTGAAGAATTGAAATTTTCATGTGATGTACAGTGCCTTTTTTTGGGGTAAATTTCACTTTTCACAATTTCAGAAACACAACATCTCAGCCCTTATTGTTAAATTCATGATTGATTGCTCCTTGTCAAGCCATCAGCCTATTATTTGTTTTCTTAAAATTATCATTTTCAATACCACAAAGATATTTAAGAGTATACATTATTCTCGGAAAAACCCTGAGAATCAATTTTTAGTCAAAGCAAAAAGATCACAAATCAAAGACACAAACATTGTTTAGAGCAATAAACTAACTGTACCTCTGGTGGCAACTGACATTTCCCTTTTGCTTGTCCGGAGTGCATCTGTCAATTTAGACAACACCATTTCCTCTCAGTTGAAAAGAAAAGAAAAATTAAACCAGAAAGAAAAAATTAACAACAACAAAACCTCATTTTTAAAAACAAATTTAACAAAAACAAAATATCAGATGGAATCACACTCAAAGAAGGGTGACAAGATGAAATGATCTTGAAAATTAAAAAAAAAAAAAAAAAAAAGGAAGAAAAAACACAAGATCTATGTAAGAGTAAGCCCAATTTAAACCCTAGAACCCAGTAAAAATCTAGGAAAATATGGAAAGATTGAGGGTCAGAGAATCGATCAAGCAACAATGCTATACTTATCTAAGCGAAAAAATTAATAAAAAACAATAATTTTCGATTCTGAGTAACAATGTTGGTGTAAAATTTTCAATATTTTGGCAAGATAAACCTAGAGGGAGAAATCTTGTACCTTTGGGAGAGGTCTTCTTCTTGAAGATGTTCATGGTTGTCTTCGACTAGGAGGCTTCGATCTATAGCTCCGACGACTGAGAGAAGTACTCTTACCTACAAAAAGAATGGCAACCTGAAACCCTAATTTCTAAGAGTGGCAATAATGACCGTTTGAGCTCTCTCTCTCTCACTGGAAACACTGCGGTCTGCTGGAGCACTGGAGCGTGCGTTTTTGCATATCCATAAGCGTCCAAGTAGCCGTTACGATGGTACATTGACTGAAATGCCCATGCAGATCTCTCTAATTACAAGCAAAATTTTAAGTACCCGAATCCAATGTTGTAAGAAAACATAAACATTGTGTAGTTCCACAATTTGACATGTTCAAACTTCATAAACATGTTTATTTTATATTTTACTTTCTAAAAAATAAATAAATAAATAAATAAAACATGACTATTTTGTACAAATAAAATGGAATAATTACATTTACCTTTTCCTAAGTTGTCTAAATAATATGAACTTTTCTTATGTTTCAAATATAATATTGACATTCCCTGTCAATATTGACTTTGATCCCAAAGTGTTAAACAATTATTATAATTATTCTAGTTTTGTTATTTTTAAAATATAAATATTTGTTTTTATTGACAAAATAGTTTTTTCAAACTTTTTAAGAGAATTTTTGAATTTTAAGTAAATATTAAATATGACGTCGGTAAATAAAAGTGTTAAATTTTTAAGGCAAAAGTATCAGTGTTATAGTTGAAACTGAAAAGAAGGTTTCATTTATTTAGATAATGTAGAAGGAAAGTAAGTATAATTATTCTATAGTATAATTGTTCTATATAAATTTTATTAATCTCTATATATTGCACAAATACTTTGTAAGAGTACCTCGATTCGAAAAAATTTGTATACATTTCAAAGTATTAGGGTCACACAAGTCAAACTTGTAATTATTATTATTATTGTTGTTAAAAAGGACAAAACTACAATGGTTGTGTCAATGACAGAACAGGAGACTACCTGGTTTTCAAAATCATAATTTTTGTTGGGTGAATTTGGTTTTGAGTTATTTTAAGATAAATTTTGATGGTTTGAGATCTCATTTAAGTGAAACTACTTTTTAAGTTTAAAATTAAATTATTTCTAAAAGATCCCATTTCATAATTAGAAGTTAAATTTGATACTAATTAAAAAGATAATCAAATTTTTATGAGATACAATTCACTCAAATATTTATGTCATTCACTTCCTTATAACAGAATGGACAATACGTAGTTCCTCATTAGTACTTAGTTCCTCATCAGTAAGGATTTACAATATACTTATTGCTGATGTGGACCAATAATAAATGGTCACGTCCTATGTTAATTATCAAATCATAAATGATAATCAAATCACTATCTCTGATTTAGTAAGTGAATATCTACCCATTATATTTGATTTACTAATTAAATATTATATGTCAATTTATTATTGGTACACATCAGCGGTCAGTATGTTGTAAATTCTTATTAGTGATAACCTAAGTATTATGTGCACATCAGCGAATATATTGTGGGTCACGTCCTATGTCAATTATCAAATCATAAATGGTAATCAAATCACTATCTCTGATTTAGTAAGTGAATATCTACCCATTATATTTGATTTACTAATTAAATATTATATGTCAATTTATTATTGGTACACATCAGCGGTGAGTATGTTATAAATCCTTATTAGTGATAACCTAAGTATTATGTGCACATCAGCGAATATATTGTACATCTTCACTAGTGAGAACCTAAATATTATCCTAACAAAATTAAACATTACACTTTATAATGTTCCTTAAGAGGTGCTATTCTATTTATTTTAGGACAAGAAAATAGTATTAACTTAAACTGGAGTATCTTATTTTAGTAACAACAAATCGACTAGCTCACAATTTCACTATAATTTAAATAAAATAAATAAAAAAAAAAAAATCAAGAAGAGCAATGTACATTTTTGAAATTCGATTATATATTGTGTGAGTGGAGGTGTGAGCCTCACCATATTATGCAGTGAGACTCACACCCACTCACTGATCCCTATTCGGTATTATCTGAATTCGAAGAATGTATTTAATCAAAATCTTTTACGGTTACCACTTGATTCAGTACACTAGGTTTCATCATTAAGATCAAAACACAAATTTATCCTACAAATTTGTTCACATCAAGTGAGTGTAAGTCAGATTTTGAATGGCTGTGATACTTCAACCTGGTATTTCGGATGAAATGGTTGTGATAGTAGAACCACATCAAATCCACTTCATTTAGCCAACAACTACTGTTCAAAATATTCTTAAGAACCCATATATAGAAGGAAATATATTGTAGGAATCAAAATGTCAAAATGGTGGGCCGAAGTGTTCCAAGTCTTAAAGTTAAAATATGGGTCCTACTTTGTTGCATCCCAAGATCAATTGGGTCCAAAATTTTGACTAAAATGCAGCCGTAAGCAACATAACTTAATCTGTAAAGCTCGATGCAGAAAACTCATTTGAACACACCACAGAAAAATTCTAAAAGATCAAATTCCACATCCACCAGCAATAATAAAACCCTCCAAAGTGTTTTAGCCTAGTTGATAACTTGATAAGATATCTCCCCTTAATTTTTAGAGTGTATGAGTTCGAAACTTGGCACTAAGTGGTCTCTTAACTTTTGAAAAAAATAAAAATAAAGTAATAATAATAATAAAACCCTCCAAACCACTTTTTAATTCCAACCTCAATTTATAATCAAGAAGGGCTCAAGTTCAAACCCACAAAGGAAGGGGTAATTTAGAATTTTCAAAAAGTGTGTGAATTATTCAAGAAAGTCACACTAGCTCTTTACCAGAAAGTCTTTGCAGAAGACAGATTGCTCCATTATTATTCAATGTATAGAGATCCAGACAGAGACAATGTCATAGTCAGAATCTAAAGGACAAAGCAAACAGAAACAGATACGATGTCATGGTCAAGGCTAGCTCTTTAAAGATGAGAAAAATGAAATAAAAAAAACACTTGCTCTTACACATTGTCATAGTCATAATCCAAAGGACAAAAACAAACACAGACAAGCATATCTTAAGTTGTGACAAAGACATGATCAAGGCTCTTTAAAGATAAAGTTGAACTAATTTTCACAGCCACTTGAGCTGCGACAAAAACAATGAAACCAAAACCATCACACAAACACTTGCTCTCTCTCCTCTTCTATGTTCTACTTCTTCTTTCTTATTTTGTTTATGGACAACAAGAAATTGAACAACCAATCGGATATGGGTACACAATCCGATCCATTAGTGTTGATTCATCTGGGAAGTCACTCGCTGCTGATCTGCAACTCATCAAGAATTCTTCGGTTTTCGGACCCGATATTCAGAATCTCAATCTCATAGCCAGGTAATGTTATGATCAATTTAATTTTACCCCCAAAAAAAAAAAAAAAAAAATTGTGATTAATTTTTCATTTTTCATACATATACAGGTAATGTTAAGGTTAAGCTTGGCAAATTGATAAGATTGCTTTTATAGACCCAACTTTGTACATATACAGAATTTGTCCATTCTTGTAAGAAGCATCTTTTTTTCCTATTCTGTCCATTCCCTGTAAGAAACATCTGTTTTTCTATTTGAGTACTTTTGGAGTTCTTTGCTACCCAAAAAATCAAAATCATATAATTTTCCTTTAACGAAATACATATGGTTATATATTTAATGTAAAAATAAATAAATAAATAAATAATACTCAGTATTGGGTCATTTTATTAATTAATAAATTATTTGGTTTAACTTTCTGGGTAAAAAAATTAAAAACTATTCCTATATGCAATTTGGTTAGTGGAGTTCAGATGTAAAATAGAGGCCCTAATATTGGAGTACCCTCTTACATTTATATAAATTTCAAAGAATTGATGAGTGAGTGACTTTGTTTCTATCTTTTTATCAATTTTATTTGGCAACAGCTTCGAAACAAGTGATCGTCTGAGAATCCGAATAACAGATTCTAACCACCAAAGATGGGAAATTCCACCACACATCCTCCGCCGCAAGACCACCACCACCACCACGACCTCCTCCTACCAACAACCGCCGCCGGAAAATCTTTCAATCTCCGAACCCAACTCAGACCTCATCTTCACCCTCCACAACACCACCCCATTCGGCTTCACCGTCGTCCGACGCTCCTCCGGCGACACCCTCTTCGACGCCACTCCCGATGCGTCAGATTCCGGCACTCTCCTCGTCTTCAAAGACCAGTACCTCCAACTCTCCTCCTCCCTTCCCGCCAACCGGTCCTCTCTTTACGGCCTCGGAGAGCACACAAAGAGATCCTTCAAACTGACCCACCACCAGACACTCACCTTGTGGAATGTCGACATCGGGAGTTTTAATACCGATCTGAATCTATATGGGTCCCACCCGTTTTACATGGACGTCCGCTCCCCCAATTCTGACGGCAGAGTTCCGGCGGGAACCACCCACGGTGTGTTGTTGCTCAACAACAATGGCATGGATATTGTATATACTGGTGATAGGATCACATATAAGGTAATTGGAGGTGTGATTGATCTGTATTTCTTCGCCGGACAGGCACCGAAGACGGTGATCGAGCAGTATACGGAGCTCATTGGCCGGCCTGCCCCAATGCCATACTGGTCCTTCGGTGATTACTATAATACTCTGTTGTTTGTCATTAATTTCTTTATTTAATTAAGTAATTTATTTGTTGTTTGGCTCTATAATGATGTTTGGACACATTGGTGAGAAAATTAGGGATGGCACTTATGGGTGAGAAAATTAGAGAGGGTAAACTTAGATGGTTTAGACACGAAGAAGGCAAGCGGCGACCAAAATTAATTATTAAATTGAGAAAATTAGGGATGGCACCTACGGGTGAGAAAATTAGAGAGGGTAGACTTAGATGGTTTAGCCAGGAAGAAGGCAGGCGGCGACCAAAATTAATTATTAAAAATGATTTAAAAAGTTGAATACAATAGACGAAATGACATATGATAAAAAAGATTGGAAACAGAGAATTCATGTGGCCAATCACATTCACACGTGCTTGTATTACTTCTATGCAGAGAATTTGGTTAGTGGTGGAGTTGTGGGTTGGAATATAATTTCCTTAGAATCAATGTTTTAAATCTTAACTTTACATAAAGTGGATTGATTATGTTGGTAAAATACAGGCAAGGGAATAACTTTATCCATGAAAAACAATCTCTCCACTAACTTAATAATGGTTTTTATTCGATGTTAAAAAATTAGGTTCACATTCTAACAATCTGCCTTCATATATCAATGACATGACTCGTGAAGTGACTGGTAGATTTTATTTAGGTCTGGCTAAAAAAAAAAAATTTGAAGTAATTAATTTTGTTGTAATTATATTGCGAATTTTCTGAACTCTCAATAGTTTAGTGGGATCTGTAGATTAGGTATGGCTTGAATTTAAAGGGTTCTAAAGTAATGAATATTTAGTATGAAGGTATACATCATCCCCGTCTCAGCTTTTTGCCATTTCTCTTGTTTTCTTTTTTATTTCTGGGCTTCTCCTTTATTATTCTTTTTTATTTAAAAAAATTGGGTGCTTCTAAATTTGGGCCATTTTGCTTGTATAGATATAATAGTATCAATAGTAATACAATTAGGTGCAATTGTGTTCAACTATTTGGATCATGTTCCACTTAGTTGCATCTACTCTAAAGAGTTCAATGGTATTCAAAAAATAGTGGTAAAATATTAAAAAGACCAGTTTGGATATTGACAGGAAATTATTTTGTTGAGAACACATAACAAATTTAATTTAACTGAATGGCTTATAGGAGTTGGAAGTCATCAATCAGTATTGCTTGAATTTGCTTTAAGACAAACCTTGATGTGAGCAACTCGCCTTATATTCATATTCTACATTTTTTGTTAGATTGAGCTTTCCCCTGCGTAGCTAAATTGAAAAATAAATGCTCTATTCTTTCACTTTTTCGTGATGGATATAGGATTTCACCAGTGCAGATGGGGTTACAAAAATGTCGCTGACATTGAGGGAGTGGTTGCTGGCTATGCGAAAGCTGGAATCCCATTAGAGGTTATATGGACAGATATAGATTACATGGACGCCTTCAAGGATTTCACACTTGATCCCATTAACTTTCCCTATGATCAGATGAAGAAATTTGTTGATACACTTCACCAAAATGGTCAGAAATACGTGCTAATCTTGGATCCTGGTAACTTATCGTAAACTCAATTGAATTCTTCTTTTTCCTCGTCAAATTCTCTCTAACATTCACATTTTGCAACTATTATGACAAAAATAAATATATTAAAAAAATATGCTGCCTTCGTTGCAGGCATCAGCGTGAACAAGACATACGAAACCTACATAAGAGGGATGCATGCTGACATCTACATAAAACGTGACGGTATCCCTTACCTGGGGGAGGTTTGGCCTGGGCCAGTTTACTATCCTGATTTTGTAAATCCAGCTGGTGCAATTTTTTGGGGTGATGAGATCAATAGGTTTAGAAAAACTATCAACTTTGACGGCCTCTGGCTTGACATGAATGAACTATCCAACTTCATATCTTCCTCTCCCTCTCCATCTTCTACACTTGATGACCCTCCTTACAAGATTAACAATTCTGGAAATCGAATTCCTATTATTATTAGAACTGTTTCAGCAACTGCTATACACTTTGGCAACATTACAGAGTACGATGCCCATAACCTTTATGGATTCTTAGAATCTAAAGCCACTAATGAGGCCTTGGTCAAAGTGACTGGTAAGAGGCCTTTTATACTATCTAGATCAACTTTTGTGGGGTCTGGCAAATACACAGCACATTGGACTGGAGATAATGCTGCAACATGGGATGATTTGGCATACACAATTCCTAGTATCTTGAATTTTGGATTGTTTGGAATTCCAATGGTTGGAGCTGATATTTGTGGCTTTGCTGGAAATACTACCGAAGAGCTTTGCCAGCGTTGGATTCAGGTATGGTTGAGAATCTATCATGTGGCACTTGAGAATTGGTTATTTGATTTAATTCTAAACAGCATTCAAAATTTAAAATAGTACTAAAGTGACATAATTATTGTTTTTTGTTTTTGTCTTTCTTTTTTGCTGTTATTGTTTCAGACATTTATTAGAACATTGTCAAAGATTTTCATATCAAATGGTTGTTTAAATGCCATATTAGAGGATTGGAAAGCATTTTACTGTTATTTCCAAAAAGAATGTTTGCCCTGTTTCTCAAAACTTTGTTTTATGCAGCTAGGGGCCTTTTATCCGTTTGCGAGAGATCACTCAGCTATAGATACAATTCGTCAAGAGCTCTACCTCTGGAATTCTGTTGCTGCAACAGCCAAGAAGGTGCTTGGGCTCCGCTACCGACTACTGCCCTACTTTTACATGTTAATGTATGAGGCACATACAAAAGGAACCCCCATTGCACGGCCACTTTTCTTCTCATTCCCACAAGACACCAACACTTACGAAATTAGCTCACAGTTTCTGCTCGGTAAAGGCATTATGGTGTCGCCTGCACTGAAGCCAGGAGCAGTCTCAGTTAATGCATACTTTCCAGCAGGAAACTGGTTTGACCTCTTCAACTACTCGAGTTCAGTGAGTGTAGTAGGTCCAGGAAAGTATGTCACACTTGACACACCTCGTGATCATATAAACGTACATATCCGGGAAGGGAATATAGTAGCCATGCAAGGAGAAGCAATGACAACACAGGCAGCTCGGAGTACACCATTCCAGTTGTTAGTTGTTGTCAGCAGTAGTGAAAACAGCACCGGAGAAGCTTTCCTGGATGATGGAGAGGAAGTGGAGATGGGAGGGAAGGGAGGGAGGTGGACTTTAGTGAATTTTAATGGCAGAGTCGTAGGGAATGCTGTAGTGGTCAGATCAGAGGTTGTAAATGGAGACTTTGCTTTGAGTCAGAAATGGATCATAGACAAGATAACCTTTCTAGGATTGAGAAAGGTTAAGAGGCTAAAGGCCTTAGATATAATCCCTAATACGGGAGCAAACCGACATGGAAAACCAGGGATAAGAACAAGTATTGATGCCAAGGGAGAATTTGTCATGATGGAGATGACCGGGATTTCGCTGCTTATTGGAGAGGAATTTAAGTTAGAGCTGAATCTAAGTAAGTAATAACAGAATTCTATTTCTGAAACAAATGTTACTACTTCGTAATTATTGTCTACCACAATAAAGAAGAAGTTGCAAAATTTTAATTATTGTGTCTGCGCTATAAATACTTTATGGTAGCGTTGTCTTTGTGCATTTGCTCTCGAACCTCTCTGTTTATGTTTTGTTTTCATTGACACCCATTGATATGATACTGATGTATATCTGATCTAAGATGGTAATGGTTATTGATTGGAATAGGTGAGGCTTCTGTGCCTAGACATGTTTGGCGCTTTTGACATTCTCAATCTCTATCGGCACGATTGAGCTCAAGAACAGGGATGGTACTACAAGCATATGAATTCTACAATTGAAAACATCTCCACGCTTCCATTGTAGTGCTATTTATAATAAGACCAGTAGTTTAGAATAACCGGCATGTATGCAATTTCGTGATGCTTTGTATATTATACGTATCCATTTTACAGTCTGAAATAAAATACTATAAGAACAATGGTGCAAGGCTTATGCTTCATCATGGGTGGTTGTATAGATCAAATTCTGTCGAACACATTTTGTTTCTCTTTCATTGGCAGCACCAACAACTCTAAGACGCAGAGGTTATAAGTCATCGTGCGTGGTTGTATTGATCAAATCCTGTCAAACACACATTTCTTTGCTTGGGTTTATCCCACGAAATGATAGGATGAGGAAACATCACGCACGTTTTTGCTCATACCGGATCTTGAATCCCTTTCCTGTATATCATTTTGTTTGATTGATTGAACATGTGTAAATGTATGTTAATGGATACATAAACTATTCCAAGATATGGTGTAAATTTTGTATGTATACACATGATGTAGAAATAATATATTTGATTGATTATTGATGTTCAGATTTCATTTTCCATGCGTTGTTTTAATTTTGTAATAACATTTTGTATAATATTTTATTTGAGTGATTGAATATGTATAAATGTATGTAAATGATATCTTATACCACATATGGTGTTGGTTGATGTCCGTACTATTTTCTATTTGAGCAGTATCAGTCTCGCGTCCGGCTAAGCACGTGTAATGTAGAGAACTTGTGTCACACCTGAGAAAATTACAACTCATGTTGGTGAGGAGTAAATCAGATATCAACTCCTTATATAGGCACTTTGCCTTCTAATAAATATTCATATCTTATGTAGAAGCGTCAATGATTCAAAGGTGGAGAGAGTTTTAGAATGAGGTTCTAGAATCTCCAAAAATTCATTCTATACCAACATAAACATGATTTTTAACATGTCAATAATGCAGGCAATTCGACTTGTTTGTATTTGGAAGAAATTTCTTATTTAAAAGGATTGTTCTTCCAAAAACAGACAAGTCAAATTGTCTGAAAATTTCAAGTATAAAATACAAATCAAATAGTTGAAACTCAGTCATAATCATCCTTGATGTTGTATTATAAAATTAGGCTCAAACTGTAGCTGAAACAAAAATTGATATATAAAAACTTATTAGGGACTTAGCTGTGGCTGTCTCGACTTGCTCATGAAGTTTATGGTGTGTTATTCAATCTGATTTGCTTCTCTATTGCACATCACTCTTCAAATCAATTGATTGGTATGATACAATGAGAATTAGGGTCTAGTTAAACTCAGTTGGCTAACTTATTTGAACTTCTCAATTGAGATGATTATCTTTTTTTATATCCTTAAAATGGAGTACATATGGAAGTATACCTCAATAAATATCCAAGTGATAAACAATAGAATACAAGAGCCCTAACTAGGTGGTGCAATCTCTGATACTTTCTAATGTTCTGCAATGGCTTGGTTGCATTATTAATTCTGGATTTTGCTTTCATCCAGATGCCAGGTAAGAACAGAAATCTGGAACAAATATTACCTAATTTGCAATATATAAATTATTGTGACTCAGCTATAAATTCTTTATGTTGGCGTTGCCGTCTTTGCATTTGCTCTCAGACCTCTCTGTTTATGTTTTGTTTTCCGTAACACCCACTGATATGATACAGTTGCATACCTCCTGATCTAAGAGACGGTACTGGGGGTTGATTGGAATAGGGTAGACTTCTGTGCCTAGACATTATTGGCACTATTGGACATTCTTAGACTCTATGGGCACGATTGAGGGTCACAACCTGGTCCAGCACCATAAGAACAGGATGGATGGAACTACCAAATCTACAATTAAAAACATTTTTCTGCTTCCATTGCTGCGGATCTGGCAATAAATAGCTTTAGGCCAACAAACCAATAAGATGACAGAGTGAGGAAACGACGTTTCTCGGAATTTACACACGAAATGTTTAAATGAGTTCCTCAATGGTAACAAGTAACCTAGGGAGGCTTGGATAAGAACTCGAAAAAAAGTGCAGCAGTATAATGATTTGCATTGCATAAAATTACAAGGCAAGTATGGTGAAAATTCTCAGACAAGCTACCTCTCAATGAGTTCAAATATTCCATACAACGCACAGTATAAACCAATACAATATATAAACGACTAGAAAACTTTGGTAATTATACAGTATGAGAAAAGAAAAGAAAAATGAACTATTATCACTACTTTGTGATTTTGGAAAGCATATTTGCATTAAGCACCAAACAATTACTCTATATGAAACTGATTCCAGCCTCAAGGAAAGGAAACAACACAAGGCAAACTTGAAAAATAACACTAGACCTTTGTTCCTAAAACCAACAAATCAAGAAGTTTCATCTAAAGAAAAGAAAAATACAAAGATTGAAAAAAAAGAAAAAATTATCAAGGGTCTTTTTCATTACAAATTGTATACCCAAGTATGAATGCTACAAAAATTCTGGCGAAGGACCCTTCTTGCTGCTGCATTTGAATGTGATACAGTAGTACTTCATCCAGCAAGAAATCGAACACCTGGAAAACTCCCAATCATTAGTAAGAGCCTTAATGCAAACATGCTGGAAGATATTGATCACAAGTGTAAAAGTCCCTGGGTTACACAGACCAAATCCAATAAGTCAGGGCAAGAAACATGAAAAATCTGTAGCATTCAGATACAGGAGATGATATAATTCACGGTATATCGTTCCAGATTCAAGTTAAAATTAGCAAACTGAAACAACCAAATGAAGATACTAATGACCAGAGGAATTACATATTGGTGAGATCCAAATAACTGACAAAATATGAAAAATCAGGTATAAGTGGGTATGATTTTAAATTTTGCAGAAGTTCTTATGCTTACTGCATAATTTTATAACATTGTCTCCTATCTTCAAATTATGCATCACTGCGAATCATAAGTATCTCAACTTCTGTTTTATTCCTCTAAACTCTTTCCAATTAGAATAGTCGGGTAGACTTAAGAACCCAACAAGTTAAATTGGCTAAAATCCAAGGCAGAAGCCTCTCCTGACACCGACTAGTCTCCAATGATTTTGGTATCTTGTATAGATCAGGCAGTCTGATCAGTACAAAACATCAAATGTAAATGGACCATAATTTGATTGATCAAGAAAACCTCAAATTAATGGAATTATTGAACCAGGTTCTGGTACAGGATCTGGTTCCATATGCTAAAGATTTAGACATTGCCTTCAACATGCAAAGTAGGACCAGACAAAAATTGATAATATCATGCTAATAAGTTGGGTGAAGGTAGGAAATTACAATGTCCTGCTACCATGTAATTCACAATATTTTTATGATCTAGAAAGTAGCATTTAGATAGAAACTACTAAAACGAACACTCAAGTAAGTTCAGAATAAAAACAATTGCCAAAGATGTTCTTTTAGATGGCACTTCATATATATAATATCATCCACACATGGAAGCAATGATGTTAGTTGACAGAGAATGAAACATCACGTATAGAAAGAAAGAAAAAAGGAACAATACTGGGCAATACTGGACAGAGTTGTAGTCTTGGTGATATGGGCAGATCACAGTCTGTTGTTCATTACTTTAATCATGTATTAATCTTTAAATCTTATGACAAAGTTCACATAGCAGAGACTAATGAAGCATGTAGCAGGTCCAGCAAGTACTTTGCACTAAAATTCACAAGTTTTGAAAGTATTGATCACCACAAAAGGTTGTTGAGAGTTCAACATGCATGAAAGGCAAAGGATGTCCAGAAATTGGGCTAAAAAATTACCGATGCAAAGACGGTTCTATTAGGTGAGTTCAAGAATCTGTAATGGGGCTGTAGCTCTAAGATGAGTTGACAATTAAGGAAAACCAGTTAATCAGTTTTAATATGAAGTGACTGGCCCCGCCAAATTGGCAATCTTACATAGATTAGCCAGTGTAAAGAATGCTACTCCATCATTTAAGGCAGTGTGTCATAGCTACTTGCTTGGAGCTGCTGGGTGGATGTTGTCAAGGTGGTTGTATATTTTCTCTTTCTGGTTGTACGCAATTTCCTAGGATGGGGAGGTTCAATTACTTTAAATTAGATGGACATGTATCAACTCCATGAAGTACTTCAGACTCAAAAAATGCAATTCAAAAGCTACAAGTGGAATTGATGGACAGCAAAAGACCATTAGTACTGTCCATTAATGTTCAAATGTCAATATAGTACTTTGCCCAAAAGATCAACTATGTAATATCTCAAATAGATATTCTTTACCAACTACTCTTCACAGAAAAACATGTGTACTGAAATTCAGGATGTCCAGTACAGAAAATTGGGTTATAATATTTGCTGTAACGTATCAGATAGAAGAATTAAAAAAACAGTTGATAAATTATTATTCAACATTGCTCAGTTTTTTCCTTCTTTTCTCTATTGTCATCTTCATTTTCAATTTTTGCCTTTTGATCTTCACTTACTCATAAAGATGCAAAGAGAAACAGCACATAAAGAAAATTTGACATTGATTAATTGTGTGCCTAATATTGTTACCTTAATTGTACAACGGTAATGCATAAGTCAAAGACTGCATCAGACATCCAAAAATGTTCCCACCAAATCTGGTTACTCTTCATCAAGATATAATCAATCTGCTACTTTACAAACATTTATTGACTATCTTCAGCACCAAATCTTTGCACCAAAAATTCATCAAGTTGCCCCCAGTTGGGGGTATTGGATTTACTTAAATTGTCAGAAGGCAATGATCGAATGCATCCAAGAATGTGCTGAATGTCCCTAAGCAGCCTGGCAAACAGAACAGGCAGCAAAAGAAAGGTTAGAAGGAAAAATAAAAAATTAAAAAAAAAAACATAAATCTTTCACGAAAGAAACGAAAAAAAGTATTATGAACTAAATAAAAAGGAAATACCTGGTTTTTGCTTGCGGAGTGCTAATCTCTAAGTTTGAAAATGCTTCTGAAATTTGTGAGTGGAAAATTATGACCACTTGCCTGTTATCATGTAGCAGCAATGGGCGAGAAATTTAGATCACATAATCATTTTAGTGTCTAATAAGAAACAAAAATTTACCAAAATAAAAAAGTGAGGTTCTATGGCAGCACAAGGAAAAGGGAGCATAATAGATTAAATTAAAAGGACCAGTAAAAGTCCAATTTTTCCTGCATGCCTAGATAAGAGTCTGAATTCAATCCCTATCCCTTGAACCCTACTTTTTGTTTTCTTTAGAGTTGAATGCAAGAAGGAAAATGCTAAAAGAAATAAAAATGCATTTGAACAATCGCATGAAGAATTGAAGTATAATATGAGAACCTCTTTGCTCAGGAAACATTTGGGAGAGCCATTATTACAAAGTTCCCTACGAGAGGGATTACACCACCAACCACAATGTTGTGATCAACCTACTACCACTATGCAGCTCCATCTCTACTTACCTACACCAAACCACCAAGTTCACATCCACTATGTTATATAGACTCTTCAAAAGAAGTGAAGTACATGTGTCGGATATATATTACTCAGACATGAGTATGGGATATGTGCCCAACACTTTTGGTTGGACTTGCACTTAAAAAACATATCCAATTATTCAATTATATTATACTATTACTTCAAAATGAGTTAAAAACCTATATTGAACACTACATTAGATAAAAACATAACTTTACTCCAAAAAATTAAATAAAATGAATATTTAGCAGTGTTGGCCGGTCCTTCTATTTAAAGATTTGACATGTCTGATGCATGGATACATATCCATACCCGACACACGTAGCCGAGTCCATCTAACATAGCACATCCGCCAGTCAGTATACCTCACAGACAACACCTCTTCAACAACCATTACCCACCCTTGCTCCTTCCACCACACACAAACAACTCAATTTTTATTTTTATTTTTTATTTTTTTGATAAGTAAAATTTTTTATAAAAAGCGCTCAAAAAGGGAGCGAAACCCAAAGAAACAAAATGCCACAAAACGCCTCAAGCCTTCAAAGAGGCCAAAAAAATAACAATCTCCTCTAGAGATAGATAATCTCTCCCTGAGACCCAACAAAAAAGAGTGGAAATAATAGAGAACTTAAGCATAGAAATAGGCTTCTCCTTTCCATCAAAATATCTCTGATTCCTCTCGAGCCAAATGCACCACCAAATACAGAGAGGCGTAGCCCTCCAAGCTTTCTGAATGAGAGCCCCAATAGTCTCTAGCCATGCTGCAATACAACAGAAGGTGATCAACCGTCTCCTCATCGCACAGGCACAAGTAACAACGATTGACAACCACCTGATTCCTCCTCCTCAAATTATCCTAGGCTAAAATCCTACCCAAGACAGAAGTCCAAGCAAAGAAGGTCACCTTAAGAAGAGCCTTGGAGCGCCAAATAAACTTCCAAGGGAAAGGACCTGCATCACCAACAGTAAGACACCTGAAAAAGGACCTCATCTCGAACCGACCTTGAGAGCTAGGGCTCCAAAGCCAACAATCAGAATCCCCATGAGAAATCACCTGGCGATACAGGAACTCCAAAAAACGAGTGACCTCCTCAATCTCCCAATCCTGAAAGTGCCTTCTAAACTAAACATCCCAAGTTAGTCTTCCATTATCAAGATGATAACAGTCAACCACCAAGGCCTGCCTATCAGAAGCAATCCTATAGAGCCGTAGGAAAGAAAGAGCAAGGGGAAGCTCCCCACACTAAAGGTCCTCCCAAAATCTGATCCTCTTACCATCCCTGATACGAAAATGAACATGTTTGCAAAAAGCATCCCACCCCTTTCGAATGCAAATCCATTACCCCCACCCCCCTAGGACCATGCACCTCACAAGAGAATTCCACCCTCCACTGCTCTCCCCAAATTTGCTTGCAATAACTCTCCTCTAAACCCAATGTCTCTCAAGCCCATACCTCCAAAGCTATTTCCCAAGAAGAGCCCTATTGAAAGGCAACAACCTTTTAATCCCTAAACCTCCACTCTGAAAAGGACAACACACTTGCTCCAAACGAACTAGATGATACTTGAACTCCCCCCCCCCCAAGAGAAAGTTACGCTGCAATCTCTCAATTCTCTCAACCACAGAAGAAGGAATTTGAAAAAGGGAGATGAAATAAGTGGGGAGGCAAGAAAGGGTGTTCTTAATCAGAGTAAACCCCCCCCCCCCCCCCCCCCCCCCTGGGAGAGAGGTACTGCTTCTTCCAACCCGCCAGCCTCTTCTCAAATTTATCCACCACCGGATCCCAACTCCCTACATATCTCTAAGGGGCTCCCAGAGGCAAACCTAAGTGAGATATAGAGAAAAAGCCAGTGCGACATCCAAGGATCTAAGCAAACATCTCGATTTCAGGAACATCCCCAACCGCACTAAAACACTCTTTCCGACATTCACCTTAAGCCCAGAGACAACTTGGAACCAAACCAAAACACATCTCAAATGTCTCAGCTAGGACGCATCAGCATCACAAAGAATTAAAGTATCATCCGCAAACATCAAGTGAGAAATCTCCAACTGACTAGCAACATCCCTGCCCACCCGAAAGCCTCTCAAAAAACCCAGCTCAGCAGCCCTTTTCAACAATCTGCTAAGCACCTCCATCACAAAAAGGAAAAGGAAAGGAGAAACTGGATCCCCGTCTCAAGCCCCTCGAACTAGAGAAAAACCCCGTCGGAGCTCCGCTCACAAGGACATAGAAACAAGCACTAGAAATACAAAAAAGAATCCATCTCCTCCATCGCCCCTTGAACCCCATCCTCTCCATCAAGTAGAGAAGGAAACTCCTGAAATCGAGATGTTTGCAGAAATTCATTGCCTCCTGAAAGTTTGCAGAACCAGAACCTGAGGCTCTGGAGAGAGTTGTGCAAAGGTCCATGAACTAGACCTAGAGGGCGGGTGAATTGGTCACAATTTTAACTAACTTTTAAAATTAAAATTATTTTTAACAGAAATTTAATCTCAGAGTATAGCAGATAGTAAAAAACTTAACAATCCACAGCAATGAAAAGCAATAAAAGCATAAGCAGTGGGCATCAGATTTTTACATGCAAACCCTAGAAAAGGAAAAGCCACAGGACCTTGTTCAATCAAAGCAATTTAAGGGATCAAATCAAAAAGAAATCTCCTTCAGGTTTATATGTTAAAAAATAAATAAATAAATAAATAAAAAAAATCAATATAGAAGTTTCAAGAACTGCCAGAGTAAAAAAAAAAAAAAAGGTTTCCAGAACTCTTTTCATTCAGGTATAAAGCAATATAGGGAATCAAATCAAAATGAAATCTTGTAAACATAGAAACCCTAGATATGCATGCATGAACCCTAATTTGGTGAGTGCAAAATTCATGATTTTCATCTCCAACCTTGGGAGGTAACTAACACTAACTTTTGAAAAATTTCTAAACTAGGCTAAAAATAAAAACAGAAGTACAGACTTAATTTTGTTCGACAAAATAGGCCAACCTAAGTCCTATCGAACTAACACTTGCAGTTCTACCACAAACTCAAATGCCACCCACTTTCCCAATCTCATGAGTCTTGCCATGATCTCCACCCTTCAGCACTCAATCCTCACCACCAACTACTCCACTAATTCCATGCATCAAACAAGCTCATTGAAACAAAATAAAATATCATTTTACAAATGGGAGTTTCACACTCCAAGCACTTATATCCATTGATCAAAATTACTAGCTTTGCCATATAACTAAATGATAAATTGGATAAGCGAACTCTTGTGTTCCTTCATTTCCATTTTTTCAATCAAGTTTCGGTGCTTTTTAGAAGTAACTGCTTCACATGTTTATGTTGTAAATATAGAGCAGAGGACGCCTTCAGGGCTAACAGTTTCTCGCTTTACCTTTGCCTATCAAGATTCTATATCTTTTGGTATAAAATATATATTACATTCAACAGACCGTTTCAGGAACTTTTGTGGCCTTTTTTGAGGTTGTTTGTGGCACCTCAGAGTGTAAAGAGAGAGAGAAAATGTTTTGAGATAAATGCTAAAAAAAATGGCCAGTATGAGATCCTTTGTTAGACTATTGAGTGGGACTGACAGACCTAGATTCCCTTGGAAAGGCGTTTGGAGGGTGAAGGTGCCTTCTAAGTATCTTTCTTTGTATGAACTGCTTCGTAGACGCTCTCTTAACTATGAATAACCACGCACAGATAGGAAAATTGTTTCCCAAATTTTGTTTTATGTGTAAAAAGGTTGAAGAAAATACAAATCTGGTTCACCATAAAGTCGCCACATACATGTAATGCAAGTAATTTTATCTTTTTGGTGTACGTAGGTCATGCCTCAGTCTATGGAGAAGTTGTTCTAGTTTAAGCCACAGGTTCTGCTTTTATAAGAGTTTGCCTAGCTTGGCAGAGATACAACCACCACAATCTCATGTGGCATGTGTGGAAAGGGCAGAATAGAATACTTTCAAAGATGTGACTCTCTGATTCAGTGCAACTTTATTGAGTTTACTGGAGATTTGAGTTGTATAGAGGGAACTTGGGTTATCTGCTAATGCATAAACACTGGTTGCATCCCCTGACAGTTTGGTTTAGACCAAGTGCCCCAGAAAATATATATTTTGTCACCGCCCCCCGCCGGGGGGGGGGGGGGGGGGGGGGGGGGGGGGGGGGGGGGTTTGTTGGTTTCCAACTGAAAAATTACCGACCAACCAAATACTAAAGAGTTGGTTCCACTTTTACTGGAACAATAATACCTACATGGTAGATGTCAAAGCAACGCAGCAACATTTGGCTTCATCTTAAACACAGTAGACAAAATGCCCCTTTTTCCTGGCAGTGAGAAGTTTTCATCAAGTACCCAAGATAAAAACGCAAGGCTTCAACCCCTGACCTTTAAGTTGGAAATCCTACCTTAGCTACAAGTATCACCTCATTTATGAGACATGAATGAATTTTGTAAGTGGAAATATACAGAGAATTGAATTCTTTTTATTATTAATTCAATCTGATACAATTATCAAATTAATAGATTATCAAAATCTCAGACAATTATAAATTTGACATGCTAATGTTAAGCTCACCTGAAAATTGCTTGAACATCTACTTCATGGAGAGTTCGAGATAAGACGCGTTGAAGATAGCCAACTTCCTGCAAACAAAATGAAAAATCAGATCCAAAGGTAAGGTACATATTTACATATAGCAATACCCAAGGAAGAACTTATCACTCAAAGACTTGCCATAGAAACTAAAATGATCCAATTAGACTCAGATTTTTGACAAGATGCAGAATTTTTTCTCTCAATTGGAAATGGGGTGAACAGAAACGAATACATGAATTACCCTTTTTTCTCAGTCAGTGTTGGTTGAAATCAGACTGCGGAAGCATTGGTCAGTGAAGTCATACGATGTAAGTGTTTCACAAGATTTGGATAGTTCTAAGCAATTAGATGGTAGGGCAATTGGTCTCCTTTAAGTCAGATCTATATTTTGAAAAAAAATCTCAAGCTACCAAATTTTAGATTCAATTTCAACATATTCACACTGAGCGATTGCTTAAACAAAAAGGCCATGTTTCAATCTCTGCTACCATCTTCCTTGTTCTTTTGGATGGGCAAGCATTAGTTGTTACTTGTTAGTCGTTACCATTTGTGGATGAAGATGGTGTTCAATGCTTCAAGATGTATGCAAAATGATTCAAAGACATCCTTTTAGTCAAACAAATTCTCATAGACAAAACTTCTGTTATAGAAGTTAACATACATACAGATTGTCATTCTACTACTATACATACAGATTGTCATTCTTTTACATGATACTAAATGCTAATTACAACATTGTCATGACCCATAGATACTAAATGTTAATCACCCTTAATGCCTATTTAATACTCCCTCCGCCCCAAAATAAATGTCCACCTTTCCATTTTTGGATGTCCCAAAATAAATGTCCCCTTTTTTTTTTTTGATAAGTAAGATTTTATTAAAAACGCTCAAAAGAGGAGCAGAACCCAAAGAAACAAAAGGGCCAAAGGGCGCCTTAGACCTTCAGAGAGGCCAAAAAAACAATAATCTCCTCCGTAGATTTATAATCTCTCCCTGAAACCCAACAAAAAAGAGTAGAAATAACAGAGAAAGTCGAAGTACTATTTTTTGTAACATTACTGATTTAACCTTCTTGCATTGAACTTATAAAAAGTAAACCATCACACGCATGTGGACCCATATGGATAAATTTGGTAATTCATTCACTATCAATACAATAAAAAATACTAAAACTCATCCTCTTAAAAAGTTTGATTCCGAAAAAGGGGCATTTATTTTGGGACAGAGGGAGTATTACAAAAGTGAAGCGGTTTAAACATAGAAAAAAGTGTATATGTCCTTTTTAATTCTTTTTATTTTTTATTTTTATCCTACTATTTTTCCCCCGTGATCATAATAACTATAACAATAACACAATTAGTTGTACCTTATTTCTTATTTTTTGGTCCAAATATGTATCCCATTTTAGTAAATAATAATTCAATATGCCAATACCTTCCATTCTTACTTTCACCATTGCCCTTACAATAAAAAAATAACAACAGTACGGTCAATACCATTGATGAACAATTATTTTCTCTGTTTTTATCCCTTTAAAAAACTAATAATAATAAAAAGAATGCCATTGCAATTCTCTCTTTATATTGTTTTTTTTTTTTTTGATAAGTAATAATGAATTAAAAAAAGGCGTTCAAAAAAATATAATGAATTAAAATCTCTTTATATTGTTTTTAAACTAAAATTAAAAGATAAGACTGTATCCCTGTTATTTCTTATACCGTTTAGCTACTTATCAAAAAAAAAAAAATTCTTATACTGTTTAGCCGAGAGATAATAATAACTGTCATTCTCCCCATTAACAGCCTTATTAACCCCTTATATAAATATATATTTTATGTCATAACGTAATAAAATACATTACATCACTTACCAACTAATTTATAACTGCAATAACACCATTACTTATACACAATCATTTTATTAACTTTTAATCATTTGACTTATTCCATAATATTTATTACATCCTATACAGAATCTTATTCCATCCATAATCATCCTATACAATTTGTTTTCCTTCAAATATTGTTTTTTTATTTTTCATTTGTAGAATTTAGAAGCAGATTCATAATATTACTATAAATATACAAAGTTTTTAATTTTATAGTGTAAATACAGAAAAGTATAAATATAGAACGCCAAAAGGGCCAAAAAGATTGACTAAAAGAACACAATAAATTTATTTCTAAAATCAGCTACCTTAGTAAGTGATCGAGCAAACTGACTAGGCTGTGAATCAGCATCTTCTGGTCTGTTCCAACTCTCGACAATTTGTGGCAACCCTCGAAGATGAACCAACAACCTTTCCCTCATTATCTGAACCAGCTTTGTATGTATCTCATCTCGATGAACCTTATAATCCTAAAATTAAGAAGATTGCAAAATACAATGTGAGAAGCCAAGCCCTTAATTATGATGCAATTTTAACTCATTAATAATTAATTTCACTCATTGTCCAAAATGTATTCCTCAAAACATAATAAACTATTATGAACTAAAGGAGGATAAAGGTGGTAGAATAAATAATGTATTAATGTAGTGGACCACAAAAGCTGGGATGGTTCTCACTGAGCTGAAAAGAGTTATAAGATAGATTAACGGTCAGAATGCAGTGGCATGTTTTCTTTTCTTCCTTTATTTATTTATTTTTTAAAAATGAAAACAATTGTGTTCTGAAACAAAAGCACAAATGTATGAGGTGTCCATCTAAAGCAAAGAACAAACTCACAAAGAAACAATCAAATAAAGAGGAAAAAAATAATAATACTGCACTAAAGGAGGATAAAAGAGCCTCTGAAATGCTCCAATATACTACCTGTTAGAAATTAGCTAAAATTTATAAGTGGCTCAATTTAATTGGTAGAGTGATGTGTGTAGCTCACGCGGATAGAGATGATTGGCTCGTGGGTGTGAAGGGCATATGCACTGAATGTGTATACAAGAGTAAGGAGGTGTATAGTGTGGTCAAACAAGAATTGTTTGGCCAATGTGCGAGTGGCTGGCAGTGTATGAATAAAGGAAAGTAATGACTCAGAAAACGTATGGGACAAGAAATGTGAAGGTTAAGTAATGAAGTGTACGTCAGCTGTGTTACGGCGTCTAAATTGTAGCCAATGAAGAATTGGTACAGGTTTGCTCCAGCTAGCAAAGTCGGTATGTTGAGCCGGCAAACTAACCTATAAATATACGTGTATGGCAGTCAAGAAAGGTATGAAGAACAAAGAGAGAGTGAAAAGAAAAGAGAGAAAAGATTGAGGGCCAAGAGCGGGTGTATCTTTAAGAAGAGAGTGTCTTCTTTTAGTGAATGTTTAATACCTCTTGATAATTCGTTGAGTATTGTAATCTTCTCTGTTCTGTAATAAAAGTGAGTGGTTCTTCATCCGTGTGTAAACCATGTTATTTGCTGAGTGTGTTATTTCCATCTTATTTTCTTTTTGTTGCCATAGCATATTTGTGTGTGGGTGATCTTGGGCGGAATAATTCCTAACAAGTGGTGAAAGGGATTAATCCATAACACTACCTCTCCCTTAACTAAGAAGCCAGTGGCAGGCTCTGCATTATAAAAACTCTGGGCCCATTAAAAGGTAGCATGAACAGAAGGCATTCGACCAGTACCTTCACAAGAGAGTGAAACATAATTGCAAGACACTAAGGTGCTGTTTGATGACTTAATTCAATGCTTAATTCTGAACGGATTAAGCGCTTATCTATTTAAGTGTGTTTGATAACGTAATTTTAATAGCACTGAAAACGTTAGCACCACTTATCACTGAATGTTGAAAATTCAAAGAAATATATTAAAAAATATTAATTTTTTAATAACCACTTAAAAACTTCATCACTTCAAATTCAGTTCTTAAAATTTTTCAGTACTTAATTTTCAGTTTCATCAAACAATGCCCAAGTCTCTTTCTATACCAACCAATGATTACTGCAAAGTCTCCTCCCACAATCAAAAGTAATAAAAAAGAGAGCTTTCCTAAGGTTCCCAAATTGACTAAGAATTCATATCTCGTAGCATTTCCAGTGCCCACTGACTTAATTAGGAGAAATAATTTTGCCATTCTGATCTCAAATGTTCCGACTAATCCAACCTGCCAAAGATTTTCCAGTACACTTCCATAAATATAGCTTAGCTCCATATTCTGGTGGAGGCTTTCAAAGGCCACAAAAGATTGTAAAGATCACTTATCTGATTGTTTAAAACTGGTCAACAACAACCAAGCCTCTTCCCAATTTATTTGGGGTCGGCTACGTGAACCCCATATTTCCATTCCACCCTATTTAAGGACATAGACTCGGTCAATCCACATGCTATCATATCTTTCTATACTAACTCTATTTACATGATTGTTTAAGGCTATAGCCTCAGTCAATCCACATGCTATCAACTGTTTGTTTAAAACTGATAATTTCAAATAATTGAATTTCCAAATTTTTCCATTAAAACATATATATATTTATATTGAAGCCCCCAACAAAATGAAAGACCATGGAATGTCAAAGAACTTGCTAAATTTGAAATTTTACAATGAATTCTATAAGCAAAGGTCAATAGTATATTTACATAAATATACTACTACAATCAAAGAAAGGGAAAAACAAAAACAAAACAACACCTTGAATGCAATTTTTTTCAAACAAATCTTAGAAACAATAGTTACAATATATCTCCGCTTTCACCATTAAGACTGGATGATGAGCGTGAAAGTAAATTAAAAGAATCATAATTTTTACACAGTTGGACATCGTCTCTGAAACTTTTACAATAGACGTTCATATTCTATGCTGCACATGACATGAGACTAGATACAATATTTAATGTAGGACATTGTCTGATGAAGAAAATAGGTTAAGTGGGTAAGAATTTTTTTACCTGTGCTACTCGATCAATCTCTGACAACAGTAACGCCTTTCGTGTTTCGGGCACTTTAAGGAACAGAATCCTCCTGATTTCTTAGTTCAAAACAAAAAGGAAAGAAAAAAAATGTCATATAATTTGCTCAGAATTTTTTGTTCAAATGACATAGTTTCTGCACACCATATTTTTGCCAATTCAGAAAACAATAAATACGTACTTACTATCAAGTGCCAGAATGAAAGCTTGAGATGATACAGAAAAACAACAAGATAAAAAAAAGATTCCTGACAAATGAAATAGATACATGGAGAGGGAGAGTGTGGGTGTTTTTTTTTTTTTTTTTTTGGGGGGGGGGGGGGGGGGTGGGGGCTCCATTTCACTCTCTCTAGTGGGGCCATCAGCATGGATTAGAATCTGAATAGCCTTGATTAGTTCCTCATCAAGAGGAAATTTATTTCTTTTGGAAAATATTCTCTGAAATTAAAGTTGATGCTGTTTACTGAAATCAAGTTTTTATTTTAAAAAAAGAAAAGAAAAAGGAAATGATATAGTAAATGAAATGGAGAAGAAATGACAATTAGAGAGGCATAAAACAACTCAAAATGCCACAAATTTTTTTTTTTTGATAAGTCAGAATTTTATAAAAAGCACTCAAAAGGGGAGCGAATCCCAAGGAAACAAAGGGCCACAAAACGCCTAAAGCCTTCAAAGAGGCCAAAAAAATAACAATCTCTTCAACAGAACGATAATCCCTCCCTGAGACCCAACAAAAAAGAGTGGAAATGATGGAGAACTTAAGCATAGAAATAGGTTTCTCCTTTCCTTCGAAAAATCTCCGATTCCTCTCGAGCCAAATGCACCACCAAATATAGAGAGGGGTTGCCCTCCAAGCATCCCGGATGAGAGCCCCAACTAAGAAACCTCACCAAGCCTCAATCAACCCTCTAGAGGAACAGGGCATAACCCAAGGGACCCCAAATAACCCAATCATCAAATCCCAACAATCTCTGGCCATGCTACAATGCAACAGAAGGTGATCCACTGTCTCCTCATCACGTAGGCACAAGTAATAGCGATTGACAAACCACCTGATTCCTACTCCTCAAATTATCCTGAGTTAAAATCCTACTTAAGACAGAAGTCCAAGCAAAGAAGGCCACCTTAAGGGGAGCCTTGGAACGCCAAATAGCCTTCCAAGGGAAAGGACCACCATCACCAACAGTAAGGCACCTGAAAAAGGACCTCACCTGGAACCGACCCTGAGAGTGTGGACTCCGAAGCCAACAATCAGACTCCCCATGAGAAATCACCTCGCAATACAGTAACTCCAAAAAACGAGTGACCTCCTCAATCTCCCAATCCTGAAAATGCCTCCTAAACTGAACATTCCAAGTTAGTCTTCCGTTATCAAGATGATAACAGTCAACCACCAAGGCCTACCTATTAGAAGGAATCCTGTAAAGCCATGGGAATGAAAGAGCAAGGGAAAGCTCCCCACACCAAAGGTCCTCCAAAAATCTGATCCTCCTACCATCCCTGATCCAAAAAAGAACATGTTTGCGAAAAACGTCCCACCCCTTTCGAATGCAATTCCAAACCCCTAGGACCACTCACCTCAAGAGAACTCCACCCACCTCTGCTCTCCCCAAATTTGCTGGCAATAACTTTCCTCCAAAGCCAATGCCTCTCAACCCCAAAATCTCCAAAGCCATTTCCCAAGAAGAGCCCTATTGAAAGACAACAACCTTCTAATCCCTAAACCTCCACTCCGAAAAGGCAGCACACTTGCTCCCAACGAACCAGATGATACTTGAACCCCCCCCCCCCCCCCCCCCCCCCAAAAAAAAAAAAAAAAGAAAATTACGCTGTAGTCTCTCAATTCTCTCAATCACAGAAAAAGGAATCTGAAAAAGGGAGATGAAATAAGTAGGAAGGCAAGAGAGGGTGCTCTTAATCAGAGTGATCTGCACCCCCCCCCCCCCCCCCCCCCAGGAGAGGTACTGCTTCTTCCAACCCACCAGCCTTTCCTCAAATCTATCTACCACCAGATCCCAGCTCCCCACACATCTCGAAGGGGCTCCCAGAGGTAAGCCTAAATAAGAAATGGGGAAAGAGCCAGTGCGACATCCAAGGATCTAAGCAAACATCTCAATATCAGGAACATCCCCAACCGACACTAAAACACTCTTTCCGACATTCACCTTAAGCCCAGAGACAACTTGGAACCAAACCAAACCGCATCTCAAATGTCTCAGTTAGGACGCATCAGCATTACAAAGAACTAAGGTATCATCCGTAAACATCAAGTGAGATATCCCCAACTGACTAACAACATCCCTGCCCACTCAAAAGCCTCTCAAAAACCCAGCTCAACAGCCATTTTCAACAATCTGCTAAGCGCCTCCATCACAAAAAGAAAAAAGAAAGGAGAAAGCAGATCCCCATGTCTCAAGCCCCTCGAACTAGAGAAAAACCCCGTCGGAGCTCCATTGACAAGGACAGAGAAACGAGCACTAAAGATACAAAATAGAATCCATCTCCTCCATCACCCCCCGAATCCCATCGTCACCATCAAGTAGATGAGGAAACTTCAACTCACATGGTCGTAAGCCTTCTCAATGTCCAGCTTGCACAAAACACCTAGAACCCATTGCTCAACCTAGAGTCCACACATTCACTGGCAATAAGAACAGAATGCAAAATCTGACGACCTCCCACAAAAGCATTTTGAGAGTCAGAGATGACGCCATCCAGAACCTTCCTCAACCTAGAGGTCAAGACTTTAGCAATCAACTTGTAAAAACATCCCACCAAGCTAATAGGACGAAAATCCCTAACATCCAGCGCCCTCCCTTTTTCGGAATGAGGGCAATGAAGGTGACATTCAAACTCTTCTCAAAAGAGCCATGAACATGGAAAGCGTGAAAAGAGCCCATCACTTCTTCTTGGACCACCTCCCAGCACTCCAAAAGGAATCTCAAGGTAAATCCATCTGGATCTGGGGCTTTATCCCCATTACAGCTCTTCAAAGCAGACAAAACTTCCTCTTCAAAGAAAGGCACCTCCAGTAAAGAACACTCCTCACCCGAAATAGAGTCAAAATGAAGCCCTTCCAGTAAAGGTCTCCACCCAACTGGTTCAGTGAACAACACTGAAAAGAAATCAACAAAACCCTTACAAATCTCCTCTTCCTTGTAAAACACCACCCCATCCACCCGAATCCTCCCAATATGATTGCCCTTTCTGTGAGCATTGACAAGCCTATGAAAAAATTTCATGTTGTTGTCGCCTTCCTTGAGCCACAAAGCTCTAGACTTTTGCCTCCGAGAGATTTCCTCCATGACATCTCAGCAAACTCCGCTTGACACTCCACCCTCCTAAGTTTTAAGGAATCCGTCAAAGTTCCTTGACCCTCCAATCTATCAATATCTGCAATCTCAGAGAAAACTCGATTCTTCCTCCACACAAGATTACCAAAAACCTCTTTGTTCCAACCTTTAAGATCATTCTTCAAAAAACACAACTTACCTGCGAGAGAGTGACTAGGGGTGCCTGCTACTCCATACCCCACCCACCAAGAATAGACTCGCTCCAGAAAACCCTCAGCCCGAAACCACATATTCTCAAACCTGAAAGGGGATCTTCTACTACGCAGTCCATCACAATCCAACATAAACGAAACATGGTCAAATAAAGGACGAGCCAAAGTGGCTTGGACAACATCCGAAAAATGCTCCTCCCAATCGCTCGACACAAGGAATATGTCAAGTCGAGAGAGGGTAGGAGGAGAACTACCAATGGACCAAGTGAAGGGCCCACCCACCAAAGGCAAATCAATCAATCTAAACACATCAATGAACTCAGAAAAAGACTCCATCTCAACCGTCTACCTACCTCCCGACAACCTCTCAAACGGAGAGCGAACAACATTGAAATCTACGCCAATACACCAAGGCAGCGACCATCTCCTACGAACCTCTCCCAACTCCTCCCAAAGCAAATGATGCACACTGTCCTCTGTAGGACCATAAATGCCAGAAAAAACCCAATGGAACACAGAGAAAATGCAGGAAGCAAAGAAGAGCCCAACCTGAAAGTCCATCACATAGACCCGCCGGTTATCCCACATTACAAGAATACCACCCACAGAGCCAACAGCATCCAAAGCAAACCATTCCACAAATCTTCCCTCCCCCCCACCCCCAAAACTATGCACCAACAAATCCGTCATCGTCGCAATCTTTGTTTCTTGCAGACAAACAACATACCCACCCCCTTTACGAATCACCGCTTTTCTTCTAACCGGGTCATTGAGACCCCGGACATTCCATTAGAGAATTTGTAGCTTCATAGAGAAACAACATAGCTAACAGTCTCTCCCCTCCCTCCACAACCCTTCTCCCTAGAACCGTTGCTCTTTCTTTCATAAGTGACAAGTGTCGTTGGGCTCGACACTCCCCTCTCCTCTACCCCCACCGGAAAGCTCCCCCTACTCCCCCCCATCCCATTCTTTCCATATGCTGAGAATTCAGAACCTCCAAAAACAAATTCGTCACCTCCTCTATTCTACCTTCAAAAGAAACTCCCAACAAAGAGCTAATCTCAACTCCCTTCTCCCTCACCCAATTCTCCTCCACATCAGCCATCCTCGCATCAAAACCAGCCCCAGCCTCAAACACCTCATCCGGTCGAACAACAGCTAAAGGAGCAAAAAATAAAAATCCGTCTCACTGCCATTCCACTGAACCAACCCCAAATCCTCATTAAACGAAGAACACGACCCACCATCGCCATCCTCAAAGACCGACGAGGGAGGTGAGCAGCAAGCCAGCGGAGTCCCTTTTTCCTCTGCACCCAAAGGCCCTCTCGTCTCACTCTGAAAGCCTTTCAAGGCTAATTGAGTCCGCAACTCACTCAACAACACAGTCGCAGAAGCATCATCCAAACAAATCTTCATATCACGTCCCACACAAACTGTGACACCCTCCCTTTTCTGAACCACAGACCGAGATGGACCCAGCCCATCAACATGAAAATCCCCAAGAAACTTCTTCCGCCCACTCTCCAAACCATCCTTTAAGTCCGAGGAAAGGTTATTGGAAACAGAGGACACCGGCCCCAACAAACCCTCCGAACAATTCCTCGGCAATCCAAAAGAAAAAGAATGGGTAGAAAAAGAAGAAACCAAAGGCGAAGAGATTTTCAAAGAGACCATCTTACCCGGGAAAGAGTCTGAACGAGGAATCCAATTTTGCTTCTCCTTTCGAGTCCACTTTCTTTGCATAGCAGGGAGGAGGATCCTCTTCTTAAATTTCAGCCGATGCCCCTGAGAATGCTTCTTTGCACGCCGTCTGTCTTTGAGAAGCAACGAACCAGACGACTGGAACCGCCTAACAACAGAAGAAAGTGGTCCAAACCGGTTGGCCACATCCAGTCCAGAGCAAAAAGGCCCAGATCAACAGGCACTGAACTTAGCCCAGTCAAAAAACCACAGCCCATTTCAGCTGAAGGATCTTCCGAGCAAACATTGACCTCAAAATGGGCCACCTTACCTTTATCAAGCCCACACAACGATGATCCATGCTCTTTAATAAAATTAGGCCCCGAAACTGGCCCACAAGGAAATAAGTCTTGCCCCCGCACAACCATGGCCCCAACCTCTAGCCCAGAAGCAAGCCAACCACCGTCTGAGCCCATCTTATCATTCCTCGCCCCATTGCCAGAATTCAAATTGGTTACAGCTATAACCCATTTGAAACGACTCTCATCTCTGCCCTAACCACGTGTGTGGTCACCATCACTCCCCCATCTACGCGCCCGATGCGCATGAAACCCACCTCAATGAAACCTTTGTTCCCAACTCTGTAAAAACATCTGCCGGCTAAAACCAAACCCTCCTCCCCTCTGTAAATCCCAGTGACCAAGAATCCGGCCACCAACCTTTGAAGAAGAAGATCTCTCCCTCCTTCGCTGAGTAAAGATCCTTTTGAAGCAAGCAGTGTTACGATCCCAAAGCTTATCCCTCCACTCCATCCATCTTTGAAACTCCGCCATCCCTTTATCACCCATGGAGACCCACCTCAACCACTCCACTTCCTTCAGCAAGTGAGAACCATCACCCCCTTCCAGGCTGTCTGTCGTCGGACCGAGTTGTGCAAGAGTCTCCTCCCAAACAGCCACCTTATAGCAAAATTGGTCATCATGAACAAATATGAAAGGCAGGCAAGCACAACGGACCGACAGGGTGATCCGAACCCTCTCAGCATCAATGGATTCAACCGCATCCACCCAAATAAAACCTCCACACAAATCCCCAACCGTCACAAAAAGAGCATGGTTCCATAGGTGAAGAAGAAGGCCGAACAGCAAAACTTTCTTCAGCCCTTTCTCTTTTAACACCTTAGAGCACCCCATCCTAAAACTCCACAAATCCACACGAAGAGTGGCCTTCCCCCAGTCACGGCGTCCCTCCTTGAGCACTCTCTCCCTCCACCTTAGATGGAAACCGAAAAACGAGCAAAGAATCTGGCTAAGGCAAGACAACCACCGCCGGCGAGACCTTCCAAGCGCGTGAAGCCCAAGCTGCAATCTGATCTCTACTACCCACTTCTTTGTCAAATTTCCCCACCAAACAAGTCTTCAAATCCACCATTCTATTACCAACCGAGTCATCATCCAAGAAGATCGAATCACCTCTGTAAGTGGAAGCGGATCTCACAAAACCACCCTGAAACAAACGAGGCAGTCTAGCGACTTCCAAGAAAGAACGCATAAAAAGAGAGAAAAGAGAAACAAACAAGGAAAGTAGTAGAGGATTTCACCAGAGTAGATGACTCCGGTGACTGGTCGGAGCAGTAGGCTCAAGCCGCGTCTCTATCACGAGAAGTTTGCATTCGGACCATGAAAAAAGACCACCACTTGTAATATGCCACAATATTTTGAAGAAGAACATAGGGAACGAATAGTCTGATCGATTATTTAATTCACTGTATATATGATATAAGATTTTGACAAGGAGTTTAAATTCTGATCATAATTGATTCCAATCAAATGATAAGGTAAGTAGCAGAACTTTAAGCCTGACTGAACCAATCAAATCGGTGCCAACATTTGATTGATAGCGTGAGTATCCCAAGTATAAAAGAGAACTGCAGAACATTTCAGTTGAACAACTATTTCATCTTTAAGCTGGTACTTCTTTTGTGGCAACCTATTTGAAGTTGCTTCTAATAGAAATATATTTCCTAAGAATGCTTGGGTCTTACGGATAGATTGACTTGAGAAAGGACCGAACTCCAAGGCCCCAACAAAAAAAAATAAAACAAGTGAAAACAAATTTCAAATAAGCACTTGAAACCTCCTATCAGATTAGATACTCCCATTCCACTTTTCATACCACAATCGCAAAATCAAGATGAGAAACTAAAAATATGTTGAAAAAACTATGGAAAAATATACACTCTATTTTGTCTTCTAACAAGGAGTTTGTCATCCATGAGTTAGTTAAATGATTATGATGGTTGATGCTTTTGACATCCAGTGTCGTGATAAATGAAGAGTTTCACTTTCAGAACAGATGAAATACTTCCACATCTCCAAATCCACTATGTTATCTCTTGATTGGACTACGAATTAAAATTTTCGAGTCTAATCAAACATGAAAGTTCAAGTGGGAATCTTTTTTGCATGTGCAAGAGCATCATAAATGAGGACTTCTCTAAAAGCCTTTAACAGAGCATGGGAGGCTGCAGCAGCTGAGCAAGTTGAGCCCGCAGGCTCAATGCTTTTCCCCAGCTTTCCCTCCAGTAAAATATTAACTCATACCCGGTGTCTAGGGATTCCTGGGGCATGAGTTAAGCATTACTTTGACTACTCTATTCTGATGGAAATGAGCCAATAAAGAGTGGGGGAAAGGACAGATTTGAGACTACCGAGTCACAGATGTCTCTTGTGCAGGCACATAAAGCAGCTGGGTAGTGGATTTTTAACAAGTCTTTTCTCCTTCTACTAGAGTACAGAACTTTCCCTCTTCTTTTCTCCATGTATATTGAAGGATGGAATGTGTAGAGCCGAGTTGCACATAGCATAGCAATATTGACAGCTATGCATGGTGTTCTTATTAAAAAAGAACAGTAATAGTAAATTGTAAAGTAGAATAAGCAGCTCCTCTATGTGTAAGCTACTAGATCTAGTCATCAATGGTCCGCAATTCTTTCATAACAAATATCTCCCTATGCAAGATTGAGGTTCCTCTCCTAAAGCTTGCTCATAAAATACTAGCAAAAACTAATAGCAAAAGCAAAGCTAGTAACTAACTTATCAAAAAAAAAAAAAGCAAAGCTAGTAACTAGCCATTGCTATATCATCCATCTAGCGTAGCTTCCAAATAATCCAAAGCTATTGTCCTACAGAGCTTCCACCCTACCTACGCTAAATCAAAGGGGCCCATTACGCATTGCATAAAAGAACCTTTCTTTGTATGACTTCTCCTTTGCCTCAAGTCAAATGAATATGAAAGGGAGATTTCACTTTTCAGCAAACTAAATAAATAAAACTGGGCCAGACCTATATTCTCTTGTTTGTTTTGCCAAAGACTAGAAGTTCAAGCATGAAACCTATGCATGCAACTGAGCGATTTCAGAAAGTGAGAACACAATAACAAAAAAGAAGGTCAGAGTACACTGCAAAGTGTATAACTAATTTTCTACATTAAAGTTGGCGTATTTGTTTTTATGGACATAACAAAACCGTGAAACTGTTTCACTTCACTCAATATTGACCACAAATGCCATCTAACTACTTTAAATATTTCCCAAATATTTTTCTAAGCAATTTTATATTCAATATAAAGCAAAACATGAAGGACACATAAAATTAACAAAGTTGAGAAAGAAAGCAGATTAACAGAGACAAGGAAGCTATTATGCCAAACCAAATAGCCAAGGAACCTTTAGGCTTTGTTTGGATGCTGCCTTATATTCCCTCTGATGATTAAATAAAATTAGAAAAAATAGAAGTTTCTGGAAAATGGTCAGGAATTAGGAAAAAGAAAAAGGAAATGACAATTGAAATATAATACTTATCTCTTGTGTTTTCTTTCCCCCCCAGTTTTCCATGCTACCAAACAAGAAAATGTTTTTTTCACATCAAAATTTTCCTTCCCCTCACAAAATCCACAAACTAAAGAAAAAAATATATAACTCACTTGAAAATAACTCAAATATACAAGTTAGAAAAGAGACATCGAGAAAAATGAAACCGTCAAATGCATCACAATGACATACATTCTACGGTAAGAAAAATAGTTGCATGGATCATTGTGAGGTCTATTAAATTTATATGTCATTTGCTGATAAGTTGTATCTTACTGATGGCCCAGCGACAGTGTCATAAAGAAAACATCCAAAATGATGATTTTCAGAATTGTCTGATTCTCCAGTATGTTTCAATATAAAGCATTCTGCTCATGCACACATCTATATGCTGACATGCTCAAATACATGAACATATTCACACAAATAAACATCCAAGCATGTCACATTCTGATTCACAAATAGAACACCAGTAACAACTATGGAAATTTCAGCACATTAAGTTATCACCACCTACCAGGAATAATAGCATATATGAAGCTGATAACCTGACTTGCCAATGCCAAGTGCTTAGAAGTAATAGACTTCAAACCAGACACCTGCATTATCATGTGGTCCCAATCAAAAAGTACAAAACTGAATTACTGATTCTTATTATTAAATAATAATGGGTGGGTGTTTAAGAATCCAACAGAAAGCATAATAAAAATAAGAAAAGAAGGGTGGTTTTGATATTATGAACAAGTAGTTGTTCAACAAAGCTTAAATAACAGTTAACTAGTGTTTTTTTCAATTGATGTCAATACAAAAGGTCATATAATGGTCAAGACAATAGTATTGTTGTTCATACAACTCAACTCAAGTGATTCATAATCCCAATGGGCTTGAGACAACCATTTACAGGACTCTTAATAAACCAAAATGCAATAGATTTAATTGATGTCAATACAAAAAGTCATATAATGATCAAGACAATAATATTGTTGTTCATAGAACTCAACTCAAGTGATTCATAATCCTGATGGGCTTGAGACAACCATTTACAGGACTCTTAATAAACCAAAATGCAGTAGATTTACGAACTCACTTTTAATTTATTATTTCCGTTTCATCTCTTCTACGATATAGAGAGCAGGGAGCAAAATGAGCTTGGGAGATTTGAAGACCAATGGTATGAATTATTTTATAGGTTTTAATGTTGCTGGAGGTAGGTTTGATATTTTGAGTTCTGTTATTTGGGATATTTGGGTAATTTTGACTTTGGACCGTAAAGTGGGCTACTGTTAGACCTCAATAAAGTCCCTTCGACGAGGAAGGGGCATGGGAAGGCATGCCATGCTAGCAATCAAGTTTTGCTTGGTGTGTCAGTCGAATTCTGTTACACAAAAGTGGGTCATAGAGGTATGCTGTCTTCATGAAATTGATATGGTACCAAGGAGAAGTTACATGAAGACCATTGCAAAAGATGGCTCACGATTTGGTTGTCTACAACAAGTTAGACACATAATGTTTTATTGGAGTGGGTAATGTCTCATCTTGCCAGATTTATAATTTCTCATTTCTGCATATATATGGAGGTGGGAAGACAGCCATTCCTTAGCTCCAAGGAATAGCAGCACCTGTAGGTAGCTGCCCTAAGCTGTGGGCTAGGCAAGGAGCGGCTAGCAAAGAAAGGCAATTCTTAGGGTCCCAACACACCTTTGCCATGGTGCTAGTGCAAAGTGGTGCGATCGCAGCTAGCAAGGAGTTAGTGGCACTTGCTGGCAGTATGTGGGGAAGAGCATAAGTGCGCATTGTGGGGGCAAAAGGCACAAGTAGCAGTGCCATTGCCACACGATGGCATCACTGGTTTAAATGAGACAGCAGCTTCAAGGTGAAGCCTTAGCATGGCTAAGTGTGGCAGCCCATATGGCTGGCACATGTAGCTTGGTGGTGTATAGCTGTTTGGCAGTTGTATGGGCACGGCTCATGCTGACAGCAGTGATTATGGGTTCCTAAAGCTTTGGTGCTCCTAGGTGCCATAGAGAGTGGATTGGGGTTCTTCAGCAGCAGATGCACGTGTGTGTTGATTCAGACTTGGTAGGACAATGCAATAACCAAGAAGAGGCATTACTTGGTCAACCTTCCACAAGGACCCAACACGCAGTGGTTGGTTGGGCATCTCTTGGGCTTGCAATAGTTTGCATAGCAGAGGACCATGGCTCCAAGGCATTTTGCGGTTGTGCGCATGCACAGTTATGACATGACGGCATTTGTTGAAGGACAAGTGAGAGGCAATCGACAACAGTTACTTCCTTTACCAAGACAATGAACTGGTGGTTTGATGGTTTGGCTTCAAATCCAAGAGTAGGATGTTATGGAAATGTCTGACATGTGGTATGGCAGTTGCCCAACTGCCGTGGCCTAGGTGGCAACATTGGAGCAATTCATAGTGGCGGGTTCAAAGTTGTCAGGGCATAAAAGCTACAACTGGCATGACAGGTGGCACAAAACTGGAGGGTGCAACGATTCGATTGGTGCCTTCCTCCCAACATGAGGCAAGGTTGGACAAAGTAAGGTTGTTCCTGATGATTGTAGATAGTTGAATGTTTGCTGCTGGCAACAATATAATGATTTAGTTGATGTATCTTGGGACAGATAAAGGTAACTCCTAAACATGACAAGATCTGTGCAAGACTTCAAGATAGTTGCATGGCAAACTAAATGTGTCCTTGCGGAATGAGCTGAATGGTGATAGCACACACTGCTATCACCATTCAATTAGGATTAACTGCAGCCCCTTGTGTGACACACACAGTTGGTGCTAGCATTTTAAGACTGAATTTGACTAAGATTTGTATGTAGGACCCCACTTGTCCACATTATGAAAACAAGAACATACAAGAACCACTGACATCTGATTGTATCACTTATAAGATGCAAACTCTACCCGCTTCTCAGTATTGTAGCATACAAAAGTAACGAGTTCAAAGAACATAAAAAATACCTGCATGGCACCAGCACCAAGAACAAGCTGACAAGTCCTCGTGTTGAAAATTTTTAAAATTTCAGCAACTCGATGAACAACTTCTGATGACAGAGCTGGCAAAAAGTTATTCATATCAACGTACTCCGACAACATCTTCAGCAAAATTAAGCCACTGAAAAGAAACAAACAATCTTAGTAAATTTTCACATTTGTTGCAGACTGAAGTTGGGTTTTGGCAGAAAAATTTTAGATGAGAATTTCAAAAAGGCAAGTCAGTCAACAAAGAAAGAGATCTGTGAACAATTAGAATTAGTGAACCGGGGTACAGATTACAGAACAATGGAAACAACAAGTCCACAGGAGAAACTCAAAACACCAATTATGAATCTCAACTAGAAGTAGTAACCGCAAGAGGAATACAACTTTCCAAAGAAAAGAGAGTGGTGGGAGAAAAAACCGAGCACAACACTAAAACTGAAGAGAAACAAGAAAAAGAAAAGAAAAGAAAAAAAAGAAAAAAGAAAAGTAAAACAAGGGAACTAACCAGTTTACCATGTGATAACCAACACCTTTGAATGATACCGTTCGAGAGGAAGATTTTCCACGTTCCTTCACAATAGAATTGTAATTCTGAGCTGAGGTCATAACATCAGCTTTATTATTATCAGTTAACCCACCCAAGGATGAAGATTTCACTGGTGATGTATGATCGCCAGATGAATCAATAGATTCAGTCCGTTCAATATGCTGCTGAGAATTCAAAAGTCCAGCATCTGCATTGAGCGAACCATCATTACTTGATGTCACTTCACTGTAATTTGTTGAAACGGTACCGTCAGCATCATCTGTGTCTGCAGTAATGAAAGACTCGGAACAAAACAGCGTAGTGACGATGGTTTGAAATTCATCAGGAACATCCACTTCGACCCAAGTTTCCTGGTCAAGCACTGCCTTGATTTTTGTCATCTATGAAAACAAGAGACACGGTTAGTCCCATAACTACATGTAGAGGACCAGTGGAAGATAATGAAATTCAGCAGGAACAGAAACTAACTCTAGATTCATGGTGGAAATCAACGAAGGCTTTGGCCTGTGACTGGAGTGTTCCACGGATGCTATATCCCAACCTTCCACCAATCTGTTAATGTTAGCATAACATGGCATCATCATAAGCACAACTAGATTCAAAAAAAAAAAAAATTACAAGAAAAAGAAATAAAAGGGGAGATAAAATACAAGGTAAAAAATACCTTTTCTGTAGCTGTTATGAATTCGTGGGTGATATTATATATGCTTAAAAACTCCTGCAATCTCAACCTGGGATGAAGAAGAGCACGAACCCCAAGGAGCTTTGCCCATCTCCCTTGCGCTGCGTCACACGCTGCGAATACAGCTTCCGTGTTTTCTCGCAATACATCAGCTCTGTCAAAGAACACATTTTAATAAAGCTTCCGGATGTTTAGCAACACTAGAAGTTCTGAATTGGAAATAAGATCATAAATATTCCGTTGATAAATAGACCACCAATTCAGAATTCAAATAACATTAAGCTTGCATAATTTTCCTAACTGAAAATCCATAGCTCCCAGAGACAGAAAATAAATGACATTTAGAATACATGTGGAAGCGCAGGTCCAAATTTGAAATTTTACGCTAAAAGCAGTCCCATGAAAACATCGTGGAGAAGTTCTTCAAATGTCTGTTGCCTTTGGTCATCAAGAAGAATAAAAAATGAAAAAAATTGCATATTTTCAAATGTTTCATTGATTCCATTTTTAATGTTTTGAGAAGTACATGTATGCATTTTTGGAAACACAGCTTGAAGTGGACTTGACTTAAGCTTTTTTTCTCAAGTAATCAATGTAAGCCTGTTATCACAAATAACCAAGGAGGAAACATATTCTAGATAATTCAGAGGGCCATGCAGATGATGCAAGACAGTATATTTCAGATTTAAAACCGGTCAACCAGAGGGAAAGAATGTTCCATGTAAGACAAAAAAGTACCTAATACATCAATAAATTTGAAAGGTTTTGGCATATCTGCTATTTGTAGAAGCTTACAGACTATCAAGGGACAGAGGAAATGAACAACTTCCATCACTAATATACTGTTCCTTCACATTCACGTGTAGGCATCCAGAAAGAAATTCTTCAATCTCTTCCTGTCACGCATTTAACCCATCCTCCCATTCCCCCCCCCATCTAAATCATCCAGAAACATTTTATATGGATTCTATGTCTTCTTGCCAGCTGGCACACATATGAAAAGGATTTGGTTGAGATTGGATTTTTATTCTCTTTGTTGGAAGATTTCATATAGAATTATCAGATTGAGTTTCCACCATTACGGCATGCAGAAATCAAAAAGTTAAAAAGAGAAAAATCAGTTGGCTAGAAACTAACAAGGATAATGTTACCAGTTCATTAACCAGTAGTAGTGATCCCGCCTATGCGGGGTGCTATGAGGGAAAAATTGGAGACTGACCAAACCATTGGCCTTGCTCTCAGACTATAACCCCCATCTTCATGCTTGACAGCCTGCATTTTTACCATTGCACCAAACAATGGCCCTCCATTGAATTTATTTTTGCTCATGGTTGTCACAAGTAGCCCATGAGATATAATCTATAACTAAGCATTAGGCAATAGACATTAATTTACCCAATCTCAAACCGATATTTCAAATGGAATAAAAAAAAAGAAGAGTTATGTGAAAAAAAAAAAAAAAAAATAGATGAGATAATATTTCTCCCCCTAAAGTTACAGTCACCATGTTTCTAATCTTCTCATATTCTTTTTCCAACTTCAGCTGTTACTCGCTCATCTTTTCAGGTATCTTTTACAACATAGTCTCAGAGAAATCTTTCAATGCAAAACTGCACCATGGTTGGAATCTATGATTAAGTACCAAATCCTGCACTCTTTCCAAAAAGCTGATAGGTGATTGGAAAAATTTACTAGAAACACTACCGTACAATGAAGAGTAATAAAATCAGCAGATAAATTGATTTAAAAAAGTTAAAATTTCTGAATATGAACAGGTGACATTTTTGTAAAATTGAGCAAAAATCAAGATATAAGATCAATAGCATGTAAACAATGCCACAAGATTAACACCAAGAGACAAGAGTTCACCGGAAATTTCTAGACATATTTGATGGACTACTTGCGTCATTTGCCTTTCCCTGAAAAGAAGGAAATCTGGCAGCATTATTCTGAGGAGAATATGGCAGCAGTGAGCCTACATGACTACCATTATCCTGAGTAGTTTCTGAAGCTGCAGCGCCTACTGCAATTGCAGCAGCAACTGAATCAGCAGCATAGTGACCATCAAGATTGCACATTATCCATTCAATGGCCTTTTTAACTTCAGCAGCCCGCACTAAATGTGCCTGAATTCACTAAAAGACGAGAAATCAAATTACATGATAATAAAAAAGACTGATCAAAATAAAGAAGCCAAATAAAATTTTCAATCTTATTACTATTGCAGTTATGCACTAACAACTTAAAATAATTGAACTATGATGGAAAACAGACGAATGGCATAACAATGACTGGGAAAATGCCAAATTAGTGGGAGAAAGTTTCTCTGAATTGGGTTGCAGGAGCATTTGTCCTCAGAGAACTTGCTTTCAAAATGGCTATTGCCTAGCCTAGTGCTGGTACTCATTAATAGATGGTTCTTGGAGCAGGACATTACATACCAAACATTCGACACTATTTACTTAAAGTGGCTACCCTGAGACTCAACTCCACATGGTTTCCATATATTGTTGGAATCATCAAAGAGATGAATTATTTTTCATCAAGAAAAAAATCTTCAGTGTGAAAATTTAGTCAGTAAAGTCAGAATGGTATTTGCCAAGGTCAGCACACAAGAAGCATGATAAATGTAGAAAGGGACACTCATTTTCCCATAGGATAAACTGTGTTTTGGTCATTGTAGACTGTGGAGTAGATGAAGGATGATATCCAGCAGTTTTCACTTTTGTGTGATAGCCCATACAGATAACTCCCAGTCTGGTGTCCAAACAAGTAGCAGAGCAGAAGTCTTCTGTTGATCACAATCTGTTATCAACTCTCCATTTCATAACCAAAAGGGGCATGCGACAGAATCGATATGGAAATAGACAAGAACCCTTAATGAAGATGCACAACACAAGACTTTCAGAGCCAGGCAAAAGGGTATCAATGTGAGATTAAATATGGTTGAACGGCACCCTATTTCTGATACATCAGACTACGAACGGTTCACTTTAGACCTGTATGAGGAGTGAATAGGTCTTATGTATATATTTTGTTAACTTCTTGAATTTTAGGTATGCGTTGTCCAATTCCAGTCTATTGAGTTACCCATGTATCTCAACAACAATCAAACACAAAAAGCAAAAAAATGAAAGCAGAAACACACGATTTTTATGTGGATACCAGTAAAAGGTATGCGTTTGATTGGTTTGTATGACATTTTTGAATTTGAATCTCTCAATCAACCAGAACACGGTGTTCTCTGTAAACCCTAGATTGAATGTAAAAGCTCCTTATCTCTCTCTCTATAAGATAGAATCTCTCCATAATGTGCAAGAAGTTACCTTAGACTGACTACAAACTCATTTTTATAGCCGATATAGAAAACCTACATTGAATAAGAAACTAAATCCAATTAAGAGACTTAATTTCGAAAGTTTCCAAAACAATTATGTCTGTGCCGATCGATCAAAGCAAAGTCAAGAAATTGAACTTATTTTTAAAACATTTTTCCGGTTCAATATTTCAACCGATCCATTGATGAGATCTAACTTTGAAGACAGTATGTAAAGAATTACTTAGGTCGTAACAAATTATTATTTCCTTATTTGGTAAGGAGTTGGGTGTTGGCCATCACCAAATACTGATTTTGCATGCATGGGTGCTGAAAGGGAAAGATTGAAAAGAGACCTAACCTTGAGCAATATTTTTTAATGAGTGATTATTATTAAGACTTCAGAGAAAAATAAGTTACTATCAGACTAGAACCTCGTCCTCGCGCTTGGCACAAACCAAGCAATGACCCTAAAGCCTTAGTATAGAATTAATAGAAAGATATCTAGGACAAGTTGTGAGACTCATGTGAAACTCAAGTTTGTTAGGGTTTCATAGGAGTTGCAACAATGAGTGTAAGAAGTGCAAACTGCAAACAACAGTAGCAAGCAAAAAAAGGGAGATAACTTTAGGCTCAAAAAGCAGGAGCAAAAAGGGAAGTAGTGAAGCAAACATAGATAAACAAAGTCCACTTGAAGCAGTAAGATGGGACTAGAATTTCTCCAATCACCGTTGGAGCCTAGATTTCTCAGAGGAAATCTAGAAAAGGCCTGAAGAGAAGTTAATAATCTGAAATATTTCAAAATTATATTGATTAAGACTTGTTTTTTTTTTTTTTTGGATAAGTAAGAATTTTATAAAAAACGCTCAAAGGGGAGTGAAACCCATGGAAACAAGATGAAAAGGCCACAAAAAGCCTCAACCCTTCAAAGAGGCCAAAAAAATAACAATCTTCTCAACAGAACGATAATCTCTCCCTGAGACCCAACAAAAGAGGGTAGAAATAATAAAGAACTTAAGCGTAGAAATGGGTTTCTCCTTGCCATCGAAGTATCTCCGATTCCTCTCGAGCCAAATGCACCACCAAACACAGAGAGGGGTAGCCCTCCAAGCATCCCGAATGAGCTCCCCAACAGAAAAACCTCTCCAAGCATCAATCAACCCTCTAGATGAACAGGGCATAACCCAGGGGACCCCAAATAACCCAATCATCATATCACAACAATCTCCGGCCATACTGCAATGCAACAGAAGGTGATCCACTGTCTCCTCATCACGACGACACAAGTAACAGCGATTGATAACCACCTGCTTTCTCCTCCTCAAATTATCCTGGGTTAAAATCCTACCCAAGACAAACGTCCAAGCAAAGAAGGCCACCTTAAGGGGAGCCTTGGAGCGCCAAATAGCCTTCCAAGGGAAAGTGCCACCCTCCCCAACAGAAAGGCACCTGAAAAAGGATCTCACCTCGAATCGACCCTAAAAGTGTGGACTCCAAAGCCAACAATTAGCCTCCTCATGAGAGATCACCTGACGATACAGTAACTCCAAAAAACGAGTGACCTCCTCAATTTCCCAATCCTAAAAGTGCCTCCTAAACTGAACGTCCCAAGTTAGTCTTCCATTATCAAGGTGATAACAGTCAACCACCAAGGCCTGCCTGTCAGAAGCAATCCTGTAAAGCCAAGGGAAAGAAAGAGCAAGGGAAGCTCCCCACACCAAAGGTCCTCCCAAAATCTGATCCTTCTACCATCCCTGATCCTAAAGCGAACATGATTATGAAAAACGTCCCACCCCTTTCGAATGAAAGTCCAAACCCCCACACACCTAGGACCACGCACCTCAAGAGAACACCACCCACCACTGATTTCCCCAAACTTGCTGGCAATAACTTTCCTCCAAAGCCAAAGCCTCTCAACCCCAAATCTCCAAAGCCATTTCCCAAGAAGAGCCCTATTGATTAAGACTTGTTACAGCAAAGAGATAGCAGTCCCTTGTATAATATAACTACTAACGACTCCTGATTTCTCCTAGAATGGCATTTAGAATCCCCACACGGCATTAATAACATTTTACCACTTCCCAAGCTAACACTTAGTAGTTCCAAATCTTAATTAATACTCCCTCCATCCCAAAATAAGTGTCCACCTTTCCATTTTTATCCATCCAAAAATAAGTGTCCCATTTGAAAAGTCAATGTACTGTTTTTGTAATTTTACCAATTTTACCTTCTTGCATTGAACCTATATAAAGTAAACCATCAAGTCACTATCGACCCACTAAGGGTAAATTTGGTAATTCATTCACTACTAATACAATAAAAAAATATGAAATGAAAAAAAAAAAAAAAAAAAAAAATTACTCATCAAAAAAAAAAAAAAAAATGAAAAAAAAAACACATTCTCTTAAAAAGTTAGATTCCCAAAAAGGGACATTTATTTTTGGACGGAGGGAGTAAATTTTATAGAAACAAAGATGAACTTTTACTTCATTAAAGAAGAAGACACTTTTCAAGGCACCATTCTTTATTTGCATCGAGTAGGAATTTCTTTAGAGCTCAGATCTGATGATCAGAGAAACTGAGTTTATTACATCACTCAGGTATTGTTATCGGCTTCTGATGATGTATATTATTTACCCGACGTAATTTCTCCAAATGAGTTTTTCATATAGGTGTCATACAAAATTCTGTTTTACTTTTGTATAGGGTCGGGTGTGGATGCACATCCTAGTGCACAATTCATATATATCTTTTTTTTCCAAGTTGATAAACCCCCCCAACCCCCCCCCCCCCCTCTCTCTCTCTCTCTCTCTCTTTCCCCTTTCTTCTAGGGATTGTTTTGGCAGGAAATTTTAATTCATATATATCTGATTTGAGGAGACAGAGATAGCTGATCCTACAACATTATGCTTGAAACATTTTACTTAGACCAACAGTAAAAGTTAAACATAGCCAAATTTGTTTAGATATTACAAGGACAGCAAGCCTCAGCTATTCTGCAGTTAATCGTAGTCACCAGATTGCCATCCTTGCTTGGAAAATTTAACTCAAATAATATTGTCAAAAAAAAAAAAAAAAATCAATTACAAAAATTTTAAACCATTTTTCATATTCCACTTGAGTTGAATCATTGGATTAGATGGCCACTATCTACACTCATCAGTCCGAGACTCCCAGTCAACCAACAGATGTACCATGGAATACAAACACATGCAATAACTTTATCAATCATACTCTTATATTGTTCACAAAGGACATCAATATATCAAACCTAGATGGTATTAGAGAAAGAATTAAGTATACATTACCCTTACGATCTTGAAAATAGTCCCCAAGAGTTGGATAAAGCTATCAGATGATAGGCTTCTTAACCTGCTCGCAAGTGACGAGCCTCCACCTGAGCAAGCATTCAATTATGAAAAACAGCATAGGACAAAAACAAAAACAAAAACAAAATATATATATATATATATATATATTTCTTATATCTGTTGAGGGAAATAGCATGGAGCTTGATTTTAGAGAACAAAAATAATTAATTTGATATAATATCTTCAGCCACATGTTTATGAATATGTGTATAATATCTTCAGCCACATGCTTATGAATATGTGTGTGTGTGTATGCAGACTAATTATACAATTGAACTAACCGTCTGAATCCACAATTCGTTCTCCTGGTGTGAAATCTGACTCCAAAGGTCGGGCAACAAGAACAGGAAGCAGCTCAGCAACTATAGTCTTAATCGCAGTTTTCATATCAGCAGTAAGTGTATCACGGTACATTCTCAACACGGAGGGGAGTTTTGCCTGAAAATGACCACTATACCGTGAGACATTTCCTTGACTGAACACAGTCCAATCCAACTTCCAAAAAGTTGAATACAGCTAATTCAAACAGATCATTAAATGGTACAGATTAAAGAAACAATTTGCCAAATGGCATTAACTAAATAATTGGGTTGAGTTTCAAGCAACTGTAACAAGTTATGAAACTAGATCTCTTTACTCCTATGTACGTCAAGTGAAATATCAAGATCTCAGGCGGAAGCCATGGATTCAAGTTCGAGGTCCATCAAGTATGGTCCTTTTTTTCTACATAGATGACTTTATCATATATGGATGTGGCCATCAACTAACCTAGCCATATTTCTCTCTTGTTTAATTTAGTATAATTTGTGGACTTCAAAAATTACACTTCAAGGCTTCAAGCATTTAAACCACCCAACTTAGAACCTTTACAACAATGCACTGCAAACCAAGTATTTAACAAATCCCAAACTACATTTATCTTTATAACTGTATCTTTATTGTGAGCTGAAGTGATTCTTGTGTGAGGGACCTCACATGGCAAGAGACTGACCTGAATAAGACAATGAGTGCACTCGTGAAAAAGAAGGGCAAGGAGGTGGAAGACTCATTGTCATCCAGCAGCGAGGATAATTGAAGCATGGGGCCATGCAAATGTTGAGTAGCATGGCACATGACACCAAGAAAAAGGGCAAGAGGAAGATCGTTGGGGTGCACTACATGCACACAGGTGACAACGTCGTGCAGAAGTTGGTAGAGACAGGTGCCACACATAATTTCATCACCCCAATAGACAGAAAGACTTGACCTCTCTAGACAAAGGGTTGGCTCGAGGCCACCAGCTCAAATGAAATTCCTTGGGGGAGGGTATGCAAGGGCATGGAGCTATGCATAAATTGGTGAGAGGGTAAGGCCAACTTCAAAGTAATTGAGATGGACGACCATGACATGGTGTTGGGGTTGGACTTCATGGTCAAAAACATCGTCTTGCCAACACTATGCCTTGGGGCAATGATGATATTGGGAGGTGAAGAAGCCTCAGCCACATGCATAGTTCTGTTCGTGGGCAAAAGCAAGAGAGAGAGTCCAGGTGATGTGATGAACGCTTTTGAGCTCACAAGGAGACCTGACCTTAACTTCTGCAAGCACAATGAAAGACCGAGGATGTATGCAGAATTGCTAGCAACTTGCAGCGGGTTGGGATAGCTGAAAGCATGACAAAGGCACCGGGTAAACAGGTGGGGGATGGTTTCATGCCCATCCTAGTGGCGAGAGGTTTAGCCACACATGTGACATGCGAGCACTTACAAGATACTGCACAGCGTCTGCATGGCACACGTGACAGTGAGGTTCTAGAGTCTCCCACATTTTTGTAGAGAATTGTAAAGGGTTGTGGAGGCTTCTAGAATATTAGAGCCTTGTAAAGATTATAGAAAAGTATGGAAAGTTCTAGAATGTTGTAGAGAGAGTGTATATATCTTACTTAGCTATTTTGGTGGAGTATTTTAAAGAGCGAATCTTGGCCCTCTGTTGCGAATGCATCCTAGTCATTCATTGAGGAGAAGATGGATGCCTATAATTAGGGAGGCGGCCTCATTCGCTCCACCAAGCGAAAGGGTGAGTGCAAAGCACTAAGTGGAAGTGCAAGGCAAGTGTGGGTGAAAGCCACCACAACACTCATGGGTGGCACGTGTGGCATTTGAATGAACTAATGAGAGCGTAACACTTTGACAAGCGGAGTTCAAGTGTTCAACGTCTTGGTGTCGCACGGGTTTTGGCTAGAGCCTTGGTGAAACTCTAGGCCCCCTGGCACTAAGGCCACCTAATGGACCATTGGCGTTGGACACATAGCAGTGGATTGAGGTAGGGAGATGTATATTGGCGAGGTTAAGAGTTCTTCAATTTTAAAACAGGAAGACAATCACAATGTGCAAATCTAGGTCAAACCTTTGGGCTCTAGAATTATGGAAAGATGCCTATGGGTCTAAATCAAGTTAGACTACACTAGAACCAAATAGTTTAAATTCAAACTAAATTATAACCTTAAATGAAAATATACAGTACAATATTATATAATATAAAACATACAAAAATATTAATAACATTCCTGCATACTCATACTTGATCTTTAACATAACTTAAACCAAGTCCCTGTATCTTGATATTTAGTGTTCAAGACGATTGTAGTATTGAACACAAACTTTGTTTGGTATGAAGGATGAAATGTGAGAGGAAGAGAAAGTAGGAAGAATGGAAGCGGCATCTTTACAGAAAAGAAAATGTCTTTTCCCCATTTTGTTTGATTGATGGAAAGGAATAGGAGACACACCCCACCATTTGGCAAGTGTCAAGGGAAGGGGAGGTTTTACATTTCATTTTACCACTATACCCCCATTACATAATTTGTGAAAATTTACTTAATTACAATACTTATAATTTACTTTGCTTCTCACTTTTGTCCAATTTCAGAGGAGTAAAAGATTTAGGACGAGGGATGCTTCATCCATCCATCCTTCCCTTCCCCCAAACTATCCTTCGTACCAAACAATGAAGACTTGTTCCATCCCTCTCTCACCCTTCCTTCCCTTCTACCACATGTAGTGTTAGACACGCATCTGCATTGAATTCACGCAGCGAAGTTCAAGCAAAATAGGCCTTGCCTCTGCTGTTTAATAAGGCGCTGATGGGTAAATGGCTTTGGAGATTTGGAAGGGAGAGGACTTTTCTTTGAAGGCGTGTTATTGCATGTCATTATGGGGAAGATGTTGGAGGGTGGACTTCTGGGAGGTGAGATCACCAGCGGGCATGGGCTCGATGAAGTGTATCCAGAAAGGATGGGATGAGCTCTCCGAACGGATCCAGTTCAGAGTTCGAAGTGGAAGTCATGTTTGCTTTTGGGAGGACCATTGGTGTGGGGATTTTGCTCTGGCTCGTACGTTTCCTCGTATTTTCAGGATCTCAGTGAATAAGCATGCTATGGTTGCTGACCATTATCAGCTTGATAATGGGAGGGCTTCTTGGGATGTGCAATTCCGTAGAAATTTCAATGATTGGGAGATCTTGAAGGTTGCAGATTTTCTGGGATTGATATATAGGCAGGTGGTGGAGGGTGAGGGTATGGATGAGATGGTGTGGGTGGGCACCCCTGGAGGGGTGTTTGAGGTTAGGTCGTTTTACTGCTGCCTTATTGAGCCTTCATGCCCCATCTTACCCTGGAAAGTTGTGTGGAAAACTAAAGCTCCGTTGAAGGTGGCATTTTTCACTTGGACTGCTGCCCTTGATAGATTCCTCACTCTCGACAACCTTAGAAGGAGGTGAAATATAGTGGTGAATTGGTGCTGCATGTGCAAGAAGTCGGGAGAATCTGTGAACCATCTTTTGTTGCATTGCCCCATGGCAAGGGTTGTTTGGTCTATGTTCTTGGTCATTTTTGGTGTGCATTGGGTTGTTTCAGGATCTACAGTTGGTATGTTATAGACTTGGAAAGGGTGTATAGTGGAGAGCCGAGTCAAAGATGCTTGGAGGGCCAGTCCCCTTTGTATTTGGTGGGGGTTGTGGCACGAGAGGAATAAGAGATCCTTTGAGGGCGAGGAGTCACCTATTTGGTCTCTCGAGTTTAATATTTTTTCTGCTCTCCTTTTTTTGGGTTAATGGGCGAAATTGTATATCTATGGATATTCTTTTGCACTTTGTAGATAGCTTAAAATTGTAGTGTCGCCTTGGGCACTTTTGTTTCTTCGGGTTCGCTCCCCTTCGAGCACCTTTTATGAAGTTTACTCATAAAAAAAAAAAAAATAGGCATTGCCTCAAATCACGTCCATGCACGAGATTCATATATTTTGATGGACGAAGGTTTTCAAGAAATGGTAGTTGATCCTGCAAATATATAGGTAATCGAAGGATAGTACGCTACAGTATTATTAGATGATGAGTTTAAATGGGGGGTTCATTTGATGACTCATAAGTGGTTAGGAGCCCTTGGGGGAGTGGGTTCGTAGAGTGGGAGGTTTTGGACTCTTCAGGGTCCTCTAGAGGCATTCTTCTCATGTGGGATAGGAGATGGATGGCAAGGGTGGATATTTGGAGACGGCGATTCTCTCTATCTTGTGCTTTTGTGATGGAGGAGGATGGTTTTTTTTGGGCTTTTTCTGGCGTTTATGGGCTGGTGGATGATTGTAAAAGGCTTGCGTTGTGGGAGGAGCTTAGTGTGCTGAAGGGGTAGTGGTCTCTTCCATGGTGTGTGGCCGGGGATTTCAACGTGGTTAGGTCTCCGTCGGAGAGAACTACAGGTGGTCGATGGACTCCAACCATGATGCAATTTTTGGAGTTTATTGATGGACATCATCTTATTGACCTTCTATCGGAGGGCGCTGCTTTTACATGGTCCAGTGGTAGGGAGGTGCACACTTTTTCCCATCTGGATAGATTCTTGATTTCTAGGGAGTCGGAGGAAAAGTTTCCGGCCCAGTTCAAGCTGCTTTGGCTAAGGTGACTTCTGACCACATTCCTTCGGTATTGGATTGTGGAGGATTGAGACCTGGATGTACTCTCTTCATATTTGAGAACAAGTGGCTTAGAGCGGTTGATTTTCAGGGGAAAGTGTGGTCTTGGTGGGAGGAGGATACAGTGGTGGGAATGCCGAGGTTAATTTTGACTGGAAAGCTTCGACTCTTGAAAAACAAACTCAAAAGATGGAACAAAATGGTGTTCGGTAATCTAGAGTGGAGGAAGAATAGGGCTCTTGTTGATATTGCTGAGATTGATAGATTGGAAGGGGTGGGTGGTATTGTTGAGCCTCTACGTGATGGGAGAGCAGCTTGTCAGGCAGAGATTGTAGAGATTGCTGTTGTGGAGGAAATTTTGTGGCGACATAAATCTTGGGCTTTATGGCTCAAAGAGGGAGACCGTAATACAAATTTTTTTAATAGAATTATTAATGCCCATAGGAGGGGCAATCATATTGGGCGGATTCGAGTAGACGAAACCATAGTTGTTAAAGG